ATTTATTACATTTTTACCCGTGAAATACTGTAATTTATTCATTCAATAAAAATGATATCCTGTCACAGTGTGAAAGGATATCAAAGTGATATCCTGTCACAGTGTGACGAATATCAGAAGTGCGGGAAAAATCTCGATTTCCCTTCCCATAACGAAGATTTTTGTAAAAAAAAATCTTCCTTGACCTAATATAAGTTAAAGATAGATGGAAATAAATAATCCATTCTGACAGCGAATAAAACTGTCAAAATTACCTAATATATGTTGCTAAATCCATGTTTACAGTGTATCTACGTCTCAACCGCTCAACTATGACGTCACGAGTCTATGACTGTATTACAAAAAGACAGGGGCAAAGGAAAAATCAAAGAATATTTTTTGAAAAATGTAATAAACAGAAAATTCAATGTTTTGTAGTTGAATATGGAATTTATTTCAATCGTGAGACAGGATCTTTCGATATTTTCACTCGTGAAAATATCAAAAATCCTGTCCCACTCGTGAAATAAATTCCATATTCAACTACAAAACATTGAATATCCTCTATAAGCTTGATAAGGAGGTGATTATTAGATTAGTTAATATTTTAAATTAGGATGCATTTCTTCACTACAAGAAGTACGTGTAAAAACCATATACTATTAAATCAAATGTATATACATGTATATTTTCCCAGGGAGAGGAAATAAACGTCTTATGTGGTCGAAAAGTGATGCAAGCAAGTGAAAATGTAAGTATCATAAGGTATTAATTTACCTATCAATATGAAATTGCAATGACGTGTATTATAATTGTTCTGGCAAAGTTAAGAAAAGTAATTTAATAAACATTATACATTTATTGACTGAGTTCGAGGACAACATGCGTTTTGTCGGACCCAAGAACCGAACTGTCTGCCTGAGGCCGTTAGGCCGAAGGCAGACAGTTTGGTTCGAGGGTCCGACAAAACGCATTTTGTCCGAGAACTCTGTCAATAAATGTTTTGTTATACCTTTCATTTTATTATATATTTTTTGACATACATATATTTTGTGCTATATTCCGTAATGTAACATTAGATCTTTCACTGTTTAAAACCAAAGAATGAAAATGAGATTAAGCTCCGCCCATTCTGTGACGTAAGCGGTCCAACATCTCTCCGAGCGGTCCAACATCTCACTCAGCGGTCCAACATCGATTTTTTTATGCCCGCTCAGCAAAACATTAAAAATGTTAGACTTTTTTCTGTATAGGTTTGTATAGGAACAAATTTTTAAAGGTATAACAAATATCTTCAATCAAAGATTGGGCGCTTCACATTTATCGACTGTAAATGCATATTTTTTTCGCGATGATTTGATTGTTCTAACCAAGGAAAACTTTGACACTGCAATTGGTAATGAGTTTTCACTCAAGTATTTATTTTTTTTTTCTGATATTTCGTTGTTAGGATAAAATCATATCAGACGGTCCTTCTATAAGCCGCATTAACAAGGCTGGCTGCGTCAGGGCCTTGGGGACGTGGATTCAGACCAATGCTATGGTGTTAGGGGGCATCCTGCTGGGAATACTTCTGCCACAGGTAAATCAAGTTGTATTTGTCGACCGAACTCAAAAACAAATTGTCTATCATCTGTTTAAAATTATATGAAGAATTTACGCATGAAAGTCTACAAAATTGTCATTTTTGAACACATGAATTCAGTTCCTAGAGGAATCTATCATCCTTGCAATGCCAGAGGTAACGATTGATCAACACATTGGACCCACAGCAATATGCTGACTCAGGATCTCAGGCACTGTGAGGATGGGAATCTAGTGACAGCAATATTTTATTGATAAATGTAACTTGTACACGAACATTCACGTGCGCATATTTTTGCCGTTCAAGGTGCCTACGTATTACATAAATTAATACTAGTATATATATACAGTAAAGCACAAAGTTACTCATTATAAAAATTAATGATTATTTTTTTACTCTGTAATTTAGATGTTTGTTATGTGTCTTTCCCGTACATTGAGGGATCAAATTAAAAGCCAGAAAGCAAAGTGGGGACGTCAACGTCGTTACCAAGACAACCCGGCTTTTGACAGACATTGAGCATCAACAGGAGGGAACGTCTTGTCTGAAGGGCATAGAGAACTGTGATATACGAGATTACAATAGTGATTCTGGGATTCCGAATGATTATGTTTTACAGTGAACGATACAGTCTATCAATATACACGGTACTTGTACATGCAAAATGGATTCCTGAAATTATAAATCTGTAGTATACATGTACGTATCATACCAGTTGTGTGTGTGGAGTGTGTTTTGCAGGTGCTTGTAAATTTAGAGAAATAGAGGGGATGAAAGATAATTTTTATTACATGTTTTAGATACATTAATTGTTCATTTAATATGAAAAATAAAAAAAATATGATATTCCAACAAGAGATGACTGCAAAATTTATTTTGTGATTGTGCAATCTGTTAACAAAATAGCCAAAAATCAGCAAAATAACAAAGGATTACAACCATTGAATGATACAGATATCCAACTGTTCTGTTGTTATGAGGAAGTACTATGAACATGAGGAACAATCATATATCATTCTCATAAAAAGACATTCCCGGTATCTAAATATAGATTCCAGGGATTCTAAAATTAACTTTGCAGAATAAATTATCACAATCATTTTTTTCCCTCAAAATTAAAATATTCAAATAATGCAGTAACATTGTATCAGCACTATAAATATAGTTAATATATCTATTTAAAGTGAACACTGCATCAGCGATATAAATAGATGGAAATTTTACATCTTTATTAAATACAACTCAGATGCCATTTTATCAATAAAAGGTGCAACTCAAATATTCAACCAATAATTCTCTAAAACTCATCTTCTCTGAGATTATAAATTTTTATCACATATTTTTTGGATGTTAAATGTAAAAATAGATAAATTTATACATAATAATTTACAATTTATACATTCTGTCCTTGTTTTAGGAGATTCAGGAGACTTTTATAATTTAACTTGAAAAAATAAAACAAACAAAATCACAGAAGAAAAAAATATGAACAAATATTTAGCAGTACCAAGTACACTGTACTAGTATAATCAAAGAAGTCACCCAATATGAGTGGATGATTATTAAAATAGCTAATAATAATTTTTAACAGTACACTCTAATAATAATACATGTTGTTTCATCAACAAAACAATAAAAACACATTTCCTATAAACCTCCCCCACCCTCCATTAATAACACTTGATTATATTAAAAAAAAAAAAAAAACAAGAAAAAAGGTCTTAATTCACTTGATGAAAAGGCTGTGCTTAATTTTTTTCTGTGACCTAAGATACTCAGTACATGTACTTAATTCTTGAAGTATGAAGAAGTTAAATGTGAACCTCAAATAATAAAATGAATATATACATGAAAACATGGAAAACCAATATTTTTAATGTGTATCCATATTAGATATCTAATGACAAATATTTAACAGAAGGAAGGCACAGGGGCTGATAACAAACTATTTAATTTTCATTAATGATTATCACTACTAGTACACCAGGTATATATACAAAAGGGATTACGTAAAATCAAATATAGAATGTTACCAGCCCCTTTGAGGGTTGGGTGTAAATATAGATAAATTAACCTTCAATCAAAACCAGTTTAGAAACATACATGCATCAATTAAAGTTAAATTCATACATTTCTCATTTCTGAAAAGCTAATGATTACTTACTTACGTAAACATGAAAATTGTCAAAATTCTCAAATAATATTTCATTTATTAGTCAAAGAAAAGAGCTGTGATCAATAATGTTGATTGTTTTAGAAATGATGCTGTTTATAAAAGCTTTGGTTGGTAGGAAGCAGATGCTTGTTTGGGGAGGGAATATGGATGTGAAAAGTTTTCATAGGAACTATAACAATGTTTTAGGACTGAGTGAATGTTGATGGGTGTAGTGATTTAGGAGTATATTCTGAGTAAATGTGGGTTGGTGTAATAATGTTTTAGGAGTTTATTCTGGGTAAATGTGGGTGGGTGTAATAATGTTTTAGGAGTTAATTCTGGGTAAATGTGGGTGGGTGTAATAATGTTTTAGGAGTTAATTCTGAGTAAATGTGGGCTAGGTTTAATAATGTTTTAGGAGTTTATTCTGGGTAAATGTGGGTGGGTGTAATAATGTTTTGGGAGTTAATTCTGGGTAAATGTGGGTTGGTGTAATAATGTTTTAGGAGTTTATTCTGGGTAAATGTGGGTTGGTGTAATAATGTTTTAGGAGTTTATTCTGGGTAAATGTGGGTGGGTGTAATAATGTTTTAGGAGTTAATTCTGGGTAAATGTGGGTGGGTGTAATAATGTTTTAGGAGTTAATTCTGAGTAAATGTGGGCTAGGTTTAATAATGTTTTAGGAGTTAATTCTGAGTAAATGTGGGCTAGGTTTAATAATGTTTTAGGAGTTAATTCTGAGTAAATGTGGGTTGTGTGTAATGTTTTAAGAGTTTACTCTGAGTGAACATGGATGGGCATTTGTTTGTTAGAGGGCCACCTACACACGGGGCAGTAGTGGTTATCCCTCTGTAGCCAGGTCAGGATACAGCGCTGATGGAAGCTGTGCTTACAGGGCAGCCCACACAACAGGACCCCAGCCTCATAATCCTCCAGACAGACCACACACTGGCTACACTCCAGGAAATCCCCCGGGGTCAGGCAGGGCCTCAGGCTCCTATCATAATTCTGAGTTAGGGTCTCTGATCTTAAATTCTGAATACAAGAGGAACTGTCAAGGTGTGTAACATTGTCTCTCTCTTTGGTGTGTCTGTCTGTTGGTGTATTGTCCTGTTCAAAAATGGTGTATTTTGAATGATGCGATGTACAAGTTTGTTCTGGTGTTACATTATTTGGGTCCACTTTGGTGTAGGGCCAGGTAGGCAGGTATTTAATGTACTCAGATGACATGTGAGCGGCCATCCAGAGAGATGGGATTTCTTGTTGGTTCCACTCCAGAAATGCATTACGATCCAGGTGACTCAAGCTGCGAGGATGTAAGGGGTAAAACAAATGTTCTAAAGTTCTGAAGCGGGCGAAATTCCAGTCTTGATTGGAGTCTTCCTCTGTACTCTTCTTATAAAACCCTACTCCTAGAGCCAGTAAGTACAACCCTAACCAAACTTCAACAATGATCATATGGTGAGAGTAAAATTTAAAATCAGCCCTGACCAAAGCCATGGTGTCGGTAACACCCAATAAACGGATCAGCTTAAGGCCATAGGGAATAAAATCAGCTAGAAAAGGAATCTGGAAGAGTGTTAAAAGGCCCATCCAAACAAGGATGTGTATAATATTATACTTTATGGCACAGAACAGTAACATTACAATCCTTTTAATAAACGAACCTTGAACTAAACTGATCTCAAAAATAGTGAGACTATTACAGATGAATAGTGTTAAAATAAAAACATCATTAAGACTTGGATATAAACATTTTAAATATGTTTCCATGGATTTAAAAGAAATTGATTCTGAAGGCCTGGTCCCATATTTGAACACTTTTTCTTTGGTTATAATGAAGTATGCTAAATTATCCCTTTCTGGAAGAAGCTTCCAAGCATTGCTTTTAACCAATACTTCTCTAGACGTTACTCCAAAACGAATTCGTCCTGGAAAACGTACACTCAGTGCTGAATAAAAAAGGGGAACTTGCGTTTGTTTTGAAACCATAATGATACGGATCTCAGGGTCTTCTGAAGGTTTATAAGAGATCCAGTTCTTGTTTAGTTCCAAGGGATCTTTAATGGTAAGGACTTTATGGTTGACTGTGTCTTTGATCCAATTACTGATGCTGAACAGTTTATAGTTACCTGAAAAGTACATAATTTATAGTAACCTTTATAGTTTGTAAATGTTCTGTCAAAAGAATATCTCCATAATAAATACTGTATACAGGGAAATTTTCATCCCCATTCTTTCCCCCCCCCCTTTCACACTTGTCACAAGTGGGTGAATTTAAAAAGAGGTGAATTTAAAGAACACTGCTTAATTTCTTAAACAGAACTGTGACTGGGTGAATTTAAATGGGGCAAAATTGTTAAACAAGTGTAAAAGGGCGAAAATAACACGGGGCAAAAATAATTCTGTATACAGTAAGAGCCTGCATAAGTAAATAGCAATACTGTGTACACCTGTGTCAGTGTGCAATACATTGTAATACATTGTACTTACCTGTATAGGTGTACAGTTGGACCTGAGATTTAGACTGAAATTTCTGAGGCAGGCCGAGGATAAGGCGAGTGGAATCCCAGTTCTTCCAATGACAGAACCTGTGAACATAACAAATTAAATGATATTATCTTTACAGGTGACTCATTTCAAATCAAACAATGGAAATTATACAATTACAAGAGACCCATGGGCCACATCACTCACCTCAGCACTGTGGCAAGTGGCAACAAAAAAAGTATAAATAAATCCAGTTTTGAAAAGCTGAAATGCATGTGGTCACAACCTACCCCTAAAAGGCAGAAGGGGGGTGGGTGATTGGAATTAAATTGAATCTACTAATGATACTTATATAATTTTTCCTGTATATTCCTATGTAAAACTTTGATCCTCTATTATGGCCCCTTCCAACCCCCGGGGGTCATCATTTGAACAAACTTGAATCTGCATTACCAGGTACCTGAGGATGCTTCCACATTAGTTTTATCTTTCCCGACCAAGTGGTTTTCTTGAGTAGAAGATTTTTAAAACAGGCAACCTTTGAACAAACTTGAACCCCCTTCACCCAAGAATGCTTTGTGGCAAGTTTGGTTTAAATTGGCCCAGTTGTTCTGGAGAAGAAGTCGAAAATGTGAAAAGTTTACAGACTGACAGACAGACAGATGGACAACAGACAAATTGTGATCAGAATAGCTCACTTGAGCTTTCAGCTCAGGTTAGCTAAAAAAGTCTAAGAACTGAGAGTTCTGATAGATGGATACAAATGGATAGATGATATGCAATATAAAAATGATTCACACACATCCTATATACGGTACATTAAAAACAACATCATAACTTGTTCAAGTGAATCAAAACTAACTGACAAATGAATCATGGATTTGAATGATGTAGGTAGCTGACTGCTTGTTTACCTGTAATCTGTTTTGCAGTTGAAGTTGCCCACCCTGACCCCAAACTTTGTCACTTTGTTGATGAGAGCTGACCAGGAGGCGTCAGAGAGAGGCTTAAATTCCCACTGTTTGGTGAGAATCCTGACCAACCAAACACTGTCTTTAGCATCCTCCACCTGTTCCAGAAAATGAGATCCCCCAGTGAAGTTTGTGGGGGTGGTAGATTCCTCCATGGCAGCATCAGTTACCTCCCCCTCCGTCACCAGTCCTGAACAGAAAAAACAACAACATATGAACAAGATACACATCAAAGGAATAGACAATTATTTATTGAAAATTTAAAGTACATGTGTTTTCAATTGGGTTTTAGATTGATTTACTTCTTTTTATCTTTCTTCAAACATTTTCAGTACAACGAACTAATAGAAAGTATCATCTAACAACTCATAACATAAATAGAAAGAATAGAGAACCGAAATTATTATTTTTTTTACTTGAATGATCTGGTGATGTTAAATTTATTGTATAAGGCATAATAAAAAAAATTTTGTTAACAATTACCCAACTGACCCTTTATTTTATCAATGACCTAAATTTTCGTAAAAATTCGGAAGTCACTCGCGGGTCAGTTTAACATTTTCATGCCTCTTAATTGGTCAAGAGTTTGATTCCTCAAACAAGATCCATTGTATATAGCAGACATGTAATCAAAATGGTGTGTTCTTGAAATATCTACATCAACGCCCGTATGGCACATCCAAAACCAAAAGTAACATACCACACAATGGTAAAACTTTTGTATTCCAACAAATTCATGTGAATTTGTGTGTATGAAAAGAAAATGCAATTAAAAAAGCCTACCTACCGACCCTCTTTTTTTTTTGCATGTAACCATAAACAAACATTTCTTGATTATGTCTTATTGTACATAATTTATCATACTACCGGGTATTTTGAATAGCTGCATTTAGTTATCCAGCTAAGACAAGAAATTTCAGCTGAACCGGACTGATCTAGTTATAGACTGCATGTTTTTTCTTTAAAATAATACATTTTATACCAATGAACCTGGTGATCAAGGGCTCTAGGCTTGTGCTGAGACACAGATTATTCTACATGTAACTGTAATATAATAAATCATGACTAATTTCAAAAAAGAATACACATTTTATTAAAAAAGATGAGTAAGGATTATAATTTATGATTGTTGTGTACCTGTGGCGTCTACAAGCTCACTGAGCTCGTGTTTCTCCACTACACCCTCATAACTGACCCCTCTCTGCTCCAGAAGCGTCTTCAGCTTCAGAACAGACAGGGTCATGGGGTCAAGCAGACGGTGTGACAACACCCCCGTCTCCACCCAGCTAACTGCCTCAAGCAACCGCGCCAGGATAAACAACACAGCTACATAGATCAGCAACAGAACTAACTTGAACCACATTATCTGATAATATGATCAAATGCACTGTGACACGTCAGCTCTAATCTTCTTTCACAGAATTCAAGACGTAAGATTCCATTCAAGAATGAAGAGAGCGAAAGTTGGGATCTAACTAAAAATACATTGCCTGTCGCTCATGCCAGTCTTTGGAAGTTTGAGAAACGGCGAGGAGGGGGCCAGAAATCGAACTTGACGAAAACTGTCAAAAGTTAACCGGAAGTAAACAATCAAATGAAGTACAAACTGAAACCACACAGTGTCCTTTAAAAATCCGGAATACATTTTATTCAAAGTATCGTGGAAATATTCAACTGAGTACATTATTCGTTTAAGAGTAAATTATATTATTACTTGAAATTTTCTTTATAAATCCCCTGCTATCAGACTTGATTAAGCATAACATTTCATTGGGGATGTTTTACAAAATTATACCGAAAAAATTATCGTGATTAGGGAATGTAGATTTACAGCTAAATTAAAACATCAATAATCTTTCTTTCCATAGGCGTCGGAAGCGGGGAGGGGGGGGGGGGGGGGGAGTCAAACTTTTTTTCCAAATATATACTTAGTACAGACATTGAACATATCTTCGTAAGTTTAGCCCCCCCCACTTTCCACTGATACGTCTCAGTATAGGTTAAAAATTGGGAAAGTGGTGGTGTTTGGAAGAAAATTTTTGGTACTGGAGTTCGAACCCCCCCCCCCCCCCCCCCCCCCCCCCCCCACGAAATAGGATTTTCGTGTTTTTTTTTTTTTTGCTTGTCAGGTTTATTTGGAGGTATAAAATTTTTTTTTTTTACACTTAGCCCCACTTTCAATTTGCTCCCGACGCCAATGTTTTCTATTTGTAATTTTATTCCCAGGAAAAGGAAGTTTTCGGGGTTATATAGTTTTTGTCGTGTCTGTCTGTCTGTCTGATTTCCGTACTTACAAGAAACTGTAACCTTGGTCATAACTTTTGAACCGTACGTAAGGGCTAGAGCTTTCATACTTCATATATTGTGAGAAGATCTTGTTCATTGGATATCAACAACTTTGACCCTTTGACCTTGATCTTGGAATTTGACCTACAGTATACTTTTTACAAACTTTAACCTTGGTCATAACTTTTGATGAGTAACTTAAGAGCTAGAGCTTTCATACTTCACATATGTAATCTTTGAGACAAGGCCTTTCTTTAGAAACCAACAACCTTGACCCTTTGATCTTGACCCCGGGGTTTGTCCTGCCTTAATTTAGGTACCAACATATTTGATCTGCATTTAAAGACCCAATTTTTTTACCGTACGGTTACCTGAGGAGGGGGAGTGGTCCAAGTAACAGTGGTGTTATTTACCTGGAGACCCCCAATACCCAAGATGTCAAAAATCTATATACATGTAACAGTACACAGGAAGTCTGTGTCTGGTGATCAGGGTCAACATTCCGTGTTTCGTGTCTAAATTTGAGTGAAACTACTTGAAATAATTGAAATATTTCAATATAAAATTTATTTATGAATACTTTCAGCGATATCTAATGAAGAAAAAAATTATAAAGAAACATCGTTTTTATATTTTAAAAAAAAATGACAAATTAAAGAAAAGAACACAGAGTAAATTAAACTACAAAGTAAGCATTTTTTTTTAATTAAACTTATAAATATCAAAATTAAAAAAAAAAAAATATTCCATTCATAGGTAGGCCTATCCGCCTAAAATACAATATAGCCGTTGAGATTAAAAGCAAATATTTTATGAAGTCATGTTTTAATTATCTACTCTCAATTGTTTTTAGAATAAAATTTTACCAAGTTTCTTTTTTTGACCCCCGTGTATACAAGGCGGCTACATGAAAGTGTTTGACGCGTGACCAGGCAATCGTTTTCAAAGGACACAAACTCAGACTATCAGGTAGCACGGGTAGCTGGCCTGTCAATCAAATCAGAAGCTATTGTTTTTTTAATGATTGACAGGCGGTAAATTATTGATCTTGAATCAGGTAGATTTTGGGGGCGTTAACATAAAATTGGGTGTTTAAAGACCCAATTTTTTTACCGTACGGTTACCTGAGGAGGGGGAGTGGTCCAAGTAACAGTGGTGTTATTTACCTGGAGACCCCCAATACCCAAGATGTCAAAAAGCTATATACATGTAACAGTACACAGGAAGTCTGTGTCTGGTGATCAGGGTCAACATTCCGTGTTTTGTGTCTAAATTTGAGTGAAACTACTTGAAATAATTGAAATATTTCAATATAAAATTTATTTATGAATACTTTCAGCGATATCTAATGAAGAAAAAAATTATAAAGAAACATCGTTTTTATATTTAAAGAAAAATGACAAATTAAAGAAAAGAACACAGAGTAAATTAAACTACAAAGTAAGCATATTTTTTTTTAATTAAACTTATAAATATCAAAATAAAAAAAAAAAAATATTCCATTCATAGGTAGGCCTATCCGCCTAAAATACAATATAGCCGTTGAGATTAAAAGCAAATATTTTATGAAGTCATGTTTTAATTATCTACTCTCAATTGTTTTTAGAATAAAATTTTACCAAGTTTCTTTTTTTGACCCCCGTGTATACAAGGCGGCTACATGAAAGTGTTTGACGCGTGACCAGGCAATCGTTTTCAAAGGACACAAACTCAGACTATCAGGTAGCACGGGTAGCTGGCCTGTCAATCAAATCAGAAGCTATTGTTTTTTTAATGATTGACAGGCGGTAAATTATTGATCTTGAATCAGGTAGATTTTGGGGGCGTTAACATAAAATTGGGTGTTTAAGAAGATTTAATCTTACGGGGGCATCAGTGTTTCAGGAACACATCTTATTTTTTTAATTTTTTTTTGCTTGTCAAGAAATTTTCGGTAGTTGATCCGACTGTAAATATATGACTGTGCCCCCCATCCCCCCGGCCACCCTAAAATGAATTGTTTCCAAAGGGCCTGTACTGAGCGACACAGTACATAGAGACTGTCCTTTATGCAAGATGAATCTAGAGGTACTGTGAGCACTGAGCTCACTAAATGATACCCCCGTCCCCATATGATTATACTGGCAAAGTCTATGATTTGCTCTAGGAGACGCGAAAAAAGTGTCATTTCAAAAGTTGCACCATGGCATTATGTACTAAAGAATCTGTGAAGGTATCATTAAATTTTATTCAGTGGTATGGGGGGAGTTGTGGATAAAAATGGGTACAGTCAATATGATAAAAAAAAAGAATGGCAGTGTCAATGTTTTGCCACGGGAAACCTGCAATATGTGTCTGATCAAAAATTAAAATATAAAGAGGTGCACAAAGGCACTATCATGACTATGTAACAAAAAGTCTGTGAAAGTTTCATTCATTGGTATAAGAGGGGATAGCGGATAAGAGATAGGTACCCCAGAGCGTAACAGACAATCGGACGGACGGCTATCCTGATCATTACCGGTATATACCCTCCCACTTTTTAAGCGGGGATATAACAAACAATATGTGTTTGTGAAACACTGATGCCCCCATATGGCAACATAGCGAAGGTTAATTAAGCTTTCTCAAATGCAGATCAAAAATGTTGGTACCTAAAGTAAGGTCTTTTCACAATAATACAAATGTGAAATTGAAATATAAAACCCTAGCACCACCTTTTCAAAGGTTATGACCAAGGATAACGTTTTAAAGGACGGACAAATTCCGCGGTCAAGGTTTTTGGTTTATAAAGAAACGCCTTGTCTCAAAGATTACACCAGATATTGGGAAATATGAAAGCGCTGGCTCTTACCGTTCAAAAGTTATGACCAAGGTTAAAGTTTTTTTCGTAAGTTCGGAAATCTCCAAGGTCAAGGTCAAAATTGCTGGTTTCAAATGAAAGGTCTTGCCACAAAGAATTATTTGGACTGTGAAATTCCAATAGTATCTGCCGTTTAAAAATTAGGGCCAAAGTAAAAGTTAGTATTCCGTAAAATGGGTCAAAGTCCAAGGTCAAAGGGTCAAGGTTCTTGATATCAAATAAAAGATTTTGTCACAAGGATTAAATATGTGAAGTATGAAAGGCCTAGTCCTAACAGGCCTAGTTCTACCCCATCAAAAATTATGGTCAAGGTTATATTTTAAAAGTAGGTCAAACTCCAAGGTCAAAATGTCAAAGTTCTTGATATCCAATAAAGCGTCTTCTCATAAGAATGACAATTACATGTACATACGGCAAGTATGAAAGCCCTAGCCCTTACCGTTCAAAAGTTATGGCCAAGGGGTTAAAGTTTTGTTTTTCATAAGTTCGGAAATCTTCAAGGTCAAGGTCAAAGGTCAAAGTTGTTGGTGCTCAATGAAAGGTCACGGCAAAAAAAAAAATACATATACATGACTTTGAAGTATATAAAATTCCTGGTATCTACTGTTCAAAAGATATGGTGAAAATAGAACTTTGGGATTTTTGTGTAAAAGTGGGCCAAACTCCAAGGTCAAGGCCAAAAGGTCAACTTTGGTGGTACGTCTTGTCACAAGGAATACACAAGTGAAGTATGAAAGTTAATTATAGGCAAGGTTAAAGTTTTTGCGGACAAACAGACAGAAAGAAAAACAGACGGGTACACACGATAAAAACTATATACTCCCCGAAACTTCGTTTACGAGGGTATAAAAAGTCTGGCAACAGATTTCATCTACGTTTATTGAAACGATGTATTAAATTGGGATGTATGGAGAGTATCGTTTCCACATTGTCCGCAGTTCAACACCAGCTGCAGCAGCCAAGGAGAATACAAGTACCTGAAAACATGGTAGCCCGAGGTGAATGACAAAATTATAGTCCCTAGAACATGGAGATCTAGAAGGAATTCTTTTTAAAACAAAGACGTGGATCTAAAAAAAAAAATGTTAAAAAGATCAAGATATCAGATGCATGGGTGCAAAAGATGCAAAACAAAATTAAAATTCTTTTAACTTTAAGTTTTAACTTTATACCTCACATAGTTTTGGAGCTATGGTAAAAATAAATTTCTGGACATGTACGTTGAGCAATGATAAAATCTTAATAAGAAACATGACATATGTTCAATTGCATGTAGATCATATGCAAAAGCACTTACTGTGGAAAATCTACAGGGAGCTTTTAGTAAGACCGGAATCTATCCTTTAAATGAAAATGCAGTCAACAGAGGTTATCTCCTTTCTTCTGAAGCATTTTAAAATCAGCATGAAGAAATTCAGTCCCAAGAAGTGCAGACTACTGAAGATGGAGACAGTAGGCACATTCCCCTTACACAGGGCCAAGATACACCAACTTTGGCGGGGGACTTCTTCAGTGACAAAATCGAGAAATTAAAGAAGATAAAATCAGAGAAGAAGGAAAAGAGCAGGAATACGTACATTATCGAAAATAACATCAGGACACTGTATTACTAAGGAAGAAATTCACAAACAGATCATAGAACACCAAGCACCTGCATGTACCAAGAAACGTAAATCATGTCCGAGTAAGAAATAAAACAGAAGAAAAGTATCCAAAAATGTTGATAATGATTCACAAGAAGCTGAGCCCAGTACATCAGGTTATCATAATAGTTATGCAAGAACTGTTCCTACAGATTCAGATACAGATGAAGAGGAAATTTCTGTGAAAGATAAATGCTGTGTGTGTAAGCAGTTCACCCCGGATGATGTGAAAAACAGTATATATGTTTCATTTGCCAAGCGGGTACGGTGTGACAGATGTACGCACTGGGTTCACCTAGGAGACTGTGCTGGGAGAAGGGTTGTCAGAAGAGGGGATGACTTTTTATGTCCACAATGTCAATGAAAAAAAACCTGAAATGTAAAAAATATTAATCACCATTTTCATGAATATTTAAATTAGGCAATTACTGATCTATTTAATCTTATTTCATCAACTTTGTCTAAAATATATCAGTAAAAACCTTTTTTGAATGTTAACGAGAAACAAATCGTACAGTAGGCTTGGCCTTTGCCAGAGGACGAAAATAGGGTATGACGTCATATAGTAAGTATAGAATACTCCATTTTGAATACGGCTCTAAAAACATCCAACAAGGTACGGTTGAAAAAAATGATAGGCACACATGATGAGTATGTTGATGGTAATGGTGCTTAAGAAAAAAGTTTATTAAATAGCACGTGCTGGCCGTTGCCATAACGCATATTGTCTTAGGGGGACGATTTATGGGTACTCTAGGATAGGCATTGAAATTGGGGTTTAACTTTTTTTTATTGGATTAGCCCCCCCCCCCCCCCCCTTTAATTTACATCCGACGCCTATGCCTTTACACACAGTCACTGAGCCAGATAAAGCCAAGCCAGAAAAAATGCCCAAAACAAGGATATTCAACAGATATCTGATATGACCTTGACCTCTGACCTAGAAAATTGGTTCATGAATATTCTATGCGTGAAATAAGATTCAAAACGAGAAAGGAAAAAAATAAGATCCATGAGAAGAATTTTACACAAATATTTACATAAAGTACTTGTATTTGATATATAGGGGAGATCCGTCCAATTCTGGACACTTTTGTCATGTTTTAATATGTTACACCCAACAAACGAAAATAAACACTCAACACACTCTGATTTCAAGTGGTAAAGTATGGAAACATTTTTTGGCAACAAACTGCAATGAATATCATCATGAAACACAATTAAATATCTTTTATTGATAATAAAATGAATTCAGGTGGTGAAATAGTGCAAGTCCGGACAACATGGGGTAATTCCGGACAGAGGCGAGGTAAATCCGGACAGGAGAGCAATATGTGCTTTGAAAAAAAAATTGTAAATCCGGACAGGAGAGCAATATGTGCTTTGAAAAAAAAATTGTGAGAAAATACATTCCAACAACATGCCACTTTGGTAGACAAAGCATGCTTGTTTTACATTACTTAGCATGTATATTGCACATTTTCACGAGAGAGAGAGAGAGAGAGAGATGCCAGTTAGGGACTTGCATAGAAATCATATTATAGAGCCCTCCCCCTTCCCAAATTGATTTTTATAAAGAAAATTGTAATTTTTTGGGGGGTCTTTAATATTGGCCGATGTGTCAATAATTTTGGCCCGACCTGTCCAGGCCTAGGTGTCAATCGTCACGGGCCGATGTGTCGTTAGGCCGAGATATCTGTCTACCCATAGAACCAGCGTCCGGAATTCCCCCACCTAGAAAAAAATCAGTGGGGGAAATCGGAACACATTGTTTGATAAAATTTAATGAAAAAATTAAATAACATTATTTTGTATTATTCGTCAAATTCTTTTCTTTTTAAATATATGCTCTCTACATAAGAAATTTTAAAATAATAAATGGAAATAAATATTTGTCCTAGATGTTGTTTGAATTTTATGTCAAATTGACCTTAATTTGATCAAATTTTGCCGCCTAATGGATTTCAGGAACATAAGAGTCCAAAGTCTAACTTTTGACGTAATTATAGCATTCAGAATACCCTAGAATCGTTATAATGTTTTTAAAAAAGACAACAATGAAACACCCTTTCCGAATGTACTTCAGTTATTTATGTTAAACAATACAGAATTACCAAAAAATATGACAAAAGAGAAAGACTGTATTATTTGTCCGGAATTACCCCGTGTCCAGAATTGGACGGATCTCCCCTATATCGGATCGTACAGTCATGTACACATTGTGTATCCTTTGATCCGCCAACATATTGAACCGGAAATTACGTTTTATTTAGGAGCAACAGCAAAAACATGGCGGCTGTTCTCTTTCGAAAAAGCAGACGGTTAGCGTCAAAATTAAGATTTGAAAATGTTTCAAAGGTATGTAAGCAATTTATGTTCATATTTGATAATTTATTTGTTTATAGATAAGTTTTATAGAACCTGCAGTAATTGATAAAGTTCACAATCTGAATGACTTTTCATGTCCTTGCTGAATGATCGGGACCTCGATGCCGATCATAATTATAAAGAAGGAAAATATGTTTTGCAGTATCAAATAATCTTTTATCTAGAATATAAGGTCCATTTAAGAGGGTTTTTAATTTTTTAAAGCTCAAAAACGTCTTAATTTTGGTATTGGTTGTAAATACCACTTGGACGACAATTCAATTTTATGTAGGCCTAGTTACAGGTCACAGGCGCTTGTTTCATACAATAGGCTATTTTTTATACTATATATAGTATAAAAAATAGCCTATTGTATGAAACAAGCGCCTGTGTTACAGGTGCTAGGGTATCACATCCATACAAGCGCTTGACTATGTTGATTTCAATCATAAGACATTATTAATGATCCAGGTTTAAATTGTCACGAAATTTACTTGAAGGAGAAGATGAATTATTTGTTCTATTTTATTTCCATATTTGCTACATTTTTTACCAGGTCTAGGCAGGGAGGGGTCTGTATGTGTGTAATGCTGTAGCCTGTATTAGTATCTTATAACAAATAGTGACCAGGTCTAGACAGTGAGGGATCAGCCACAAACAATGTTGCTACTATTTGTTTCCTTAATCCCTGTACAAAATTTATTTGTAACTTGGTAACCAATAAACGATTTGTGGTAATTTCTTTGTAGGGAGTATAGCATTGAAATGGATATATGTTTAATATTGTATTGAAAGTCCATGTAGTGTGTTTATCTATTAGACCATTACTGTAACTGAACTATGATATAAGCATTCAACATCGTTCTGCTGCAAATCCAATATATTAAAATTAGATCTTTAATTGCTCCCCAATTTTTTGTTTGTTGCAAGGATCTTCAAATAAAAAATGGGGGAGCAGATGGAAAATCTAATTTTAATTAGATTAATGCAAATTATATCACCTCAATATTATGCACAGCATTAACTCACTCATCCACAAAAACACACACAGAATTGCATAAGTGTATCCCCTCCAACTTTGTTAAGAACTGATAATAATATGTATAAATGTTAAAGTCATTTATTCTAGTAAGTTCATTTATTAATTACATATTTCACCAGAAATTGAAAGGTTTGCAGTTATGTAGAATCTAAATCAAACACATTCTTATGATAACCTTGTGCTCTTTATGAAGGAAAAGTAATAGATTAGTTTTTATGAGTTTTACCATTATGTGTGCAAGTATAAAATTGGAAGATTATAAATTGTTAAGTATCACACAGGGACATCAACACATCATGGTAAACATGTCCCAACTCCTTTTTTATACATGATTAATTTCTGTACATTTCAGGTGCTGGGTACTACTGGAGTTAATCACCAAGACAGACGCCACTTGTCGCTTCATGAATACCTCAGTTTTGGACTTCTGAAAGAGGCTAAAGTGCCGATTCCCAGGTTCAAGGTCTGTGACCATACAGAGGAAGTGGAAAAAGCTGCCATGGATTTGTGTATGTAAACAATGAGGAGAAAACTTCTTACTAGTAATATAGCTGTATAAAAATTCGGGCTGGGACGATATGGAACTTAGCCGATCTGATACATATCACGATACCTTAGGTGCAATACGATACATATCTTGATACATTTCAAACCAAATAAAACTAGATAATATTTTTTAGAACATTCAATTTGAACATAATAAACTAATTCAACAAATGAACTGTCGCTTACTGCCATTGGGTTTGTTAATTTAACTTAATCCGGCATGTCTGATGCCATTTGATGTTTATATTTTGAATTCTGTATCACCAAGACATTTGTACTTTATTTCTGTTTGTTAATTGTTTAAACGTCTTGATGAAACAGACAAAGGACTAAAAATTTCGAACTCTAAAGCCTGGACATTTTTGGAAATTAAAAAAAAGTGTGGTCATGCAGGTATCGTGATACTGAATTAGATGAATCGATCCGTAGATCATCAAAGTGAATACTGTGATGCATCGGTGCACCGGTGGATCGTCCCACTTCTAATAAAAATAAATATATTCAAAGTATTACATGAATATTTATCAAAATATTATACACCTGTACATGTTAGAAGAAGATTGTTATCAAAAACTTATTGAAATGTGGTAGAAGTTATGCTGAAAAAGTCATGTAAAGTTAGGACCAGTACATTAAATACAATGAAATATTTCTGTATGCTTATTTCAATATACATGTTTAACTATTATCATCTATTATCATCTTTAGTGTATCTGAAAGTTGAATACTTGTATAGAATTGCGTTTCAGAGATTTACTGAAAATTTCTACTCTGCCATGTTTTTAAATTACTCGTAAAATATGAATAGTCAGTTGAATAACTATTTAATGTTTATTTGACTTCTGTAAACAGTGGATCATACTGGATCTCCTGACGTGGTCATTAAGGCACAAGTTCTCAGTGGAGGGCGGGGTAGAGGGCATTTCACCAGCGGTCTCAAAGGAGGAGTTAAAATATGTTTCTCGTAAGTTAGTTATGATAAAACCAGCAGTGAAAGATTAAAGCATTAGGTTTTTTGTAGCTAGTTATTCATAGAATAGCATAGACTGCCAAGGACATGTTAATTCTTTTCATTTTCTTAATGAAAGTCTGGCATATTCCTTCTCAGAAAAGTGCAGACATTTGTACATAAGCATGTGTAATTTGTTGCCACTATAGTACAACTGTAGGGACAAGTTGACCTTCAGACTTCACATGTACAATACAAGATCACTAATCCCATTTCCTTGCTGAAAGGAATTAAGTGTGACCTTTGAATGCTTTATTGCTACTCACCATTATATCAGCTTTTGATTTTTTAGGGACATTCAGGAAATTCTGTCACAATGCTCTGAGTTACAATACAAATCATTGTTCAAACAATGTTATATGATCGAAGGATTTATGTGAAGTGTTTATGTCATTAAGAATATGGATAAGTAAATACATTTAACGATCAGTTTATTATGAGTTCTGTACTTTTTTTGGTTACACTTTTCAGAGCAGAGGAGGCGTCAGATATTGCATCCAAGATGCTTGGTTCTAAACTGATCACTAAGCAAGCTCCCATGGGTAGGATCTGCAATCAAGTCATGCTGTCAGAAAGACTGTACTCTAGGAGAGAGTTCTACTTTGCTATAGCTATGGAAAGGTCATTTATGGTAAGGAAAGACAATTAATCTGATCCATATGGCAGAATCTTCACATCTGTCCATGATGACCCACTTAAATGCATAAATTTTCCTGTTTGCTGTAATTGTCTGAAAGTAGAATTAGCAGGTATGCAGATTTTAAAAATATGAAAAACAGATTCAAAATATGAAAGGTAGAAGTTAAAATGAAACACTTTAGCAGAGCAGGGTGTGAAATCTGAATCCCAGTCATGCAATCTTTACCATCCATGTTACATGGATGTGTGTATATTGCATTAACTACACATTTATAAGTTTATGCTTTGACTTACAGGGACCAGTTATGGTCGGCAGTTCACAAGGAGGGATGAGTATCGAGGACGTGGCACAGGAAAACCCTACGGCCATCCTTAAAGAACCAGTGGACATTTTTGCGGGACTGACCAGACAGCAAGCCGTTAGCATGGCTGGTGAATTGGGCTTCAGTCCTGCATGTATAGATCAGGTACATTTTGAGTATTATTAATTGATTTTTTAAAAGTTTATTTGTTCCTAGATGTATACACAAAACTTAAAATATATTTAGTACAAACACGGATATTGCGAATTTATGGTTATAGCGAAGTCATCTTGGATCTCAAGCTATGTTAATTTAATGAATTTCTTGTATGGTTATAATGAATTACGGGTATAGTGAAGTAGTTTCATAGGTCCCAGTGACTTCGTTATAACCGAGTTTTGCTGTAATGGAAGAATTGTGATGTAAAACAGAGTAAAAAAGAGTAAAAGTGTAAGAATATTTCATAATTTTTCAAAACATGAAATTTACAGTCCAGTTTGAAAAATGGCAATGAATAGAGAAATATTGTTCAAGTTAATATACAAAGCTTCAATTCTTTGTGTTCAAATAAAATATACTTTTTTTTGTAGGCAGCAGATATATTTTTGTCACTTTACCATGATATTTTCATCAAGTATGATGCAACTCTGATAGAAATTAATCCAATGTCAGAATCTAATGATGGCACAGGTAACTAGTAGTATTTAGTTCAGAAATAATGATTTGCACAAGTAAATGTAGTTTGGTTATGTTTCAGGAATGATGTCTTGAATTAGTCACGGTACTTAGCTTTGTATTCTCCATTTTACATCATTATGCTTATTCAAGCATTATACCGGTAATGTAAAGCTGTGTATTAAGTTATAATTATTGCTAAAGTAGCTGTAATGACCATTTCTTTATGATTTCAGTTTACTGTATGGACTGTAAAATCAACATAGATGACAACTCTAACTTTAGACAAAAACAGATTTTCCAGCTGCGTGATTGGTCACAAGAAGATCCCAGGGAGCAGAGAGCAGCCCAGGCAGACCTGAATTATATCGGTTTGGATGGGAACATTGGCTGTCTGGTGAACGGGGCGGGACTAGCCATGGCCACAATGGACATTATCAAATTACATGGGGGAAGTCCAGCCAACTTCCTGGATGTTGGGGGTGGGGCCACAGCCAAACAAGTTATGGAGGCATTCAGACTTATCACATCCGATCCTAATGTAAGACTCAAACTGAACCTTAAAGTTGTAAATGATTTTAAAAGATCACTGTTGTAAACTAAGAACATCTCTATAGACTGTTTCTAATGACATATTTTGCCTCGGATATTTCTCCTTAGTCGCCATCTTTTAGGTCAAAGGAGTGAATTTTCCTCTTTTAGCAACCAATTTTAAACATATATGTAAGAAATATATGGGAGAAAATACTAACAATCTTAAAATTATAAATTATTAGAGGCTTTAACAAACGTATTATCATAAGAAAAATAGTGTTATCTTTACCTTAGTAATTAGCTGCAATAATGTAGCCCTCTCCCTTTTTTTTTTTTTTTTTTTGGGAGAGGGCTACAACTCCTTAGGATCTCCATAATGGTGCAGCTGCGGGAGTGATTTGCTCCCGCACGGATTTCGGCTCAAATTAACAGTAAATGGCTATTCTATTAACATTTCTTACCTTGACTCCAAATAAGTAGTCATCCAAGACGTAAACCAATGCAAAAATATACAGAACGATCCCTATATCGCTTATTTTTCGTGTATGTTAACATCACAACTCGAATTTATCCGCCATGTTTACTGACCTTGATAGATTGTATTTTGGGACAGCCAATGAGAATTTAGGTTCTATAGGAGCGGATCTTTTTGGAATTCCCTTATTTTAAACATAAATATCGCTGCTTGCATAAAAATAACACTTAAAATGGTTTTATATACGTATGTTTTTGTGATGAAATTCAGCACATACATTTATAAACACCGATAATTGCTTTATTCAGTTGTTCTAAATTTCAAGCGAAAGTCTCATTACGTCACGCGTGAACTGTCATGGCTGCTGAAGTAAACTACCAGGAAACATGCAGAGTTATTTTACAAGTTTTTCGCATTTAACTGGGTCTACTGTTGACAGTGAATAAAAAATTCGTCTTATTAGAAGTAAGTTGAATGTAAAAATAATTTATTTTGCCTGCAGTCGCTCCTATTAAAAAAAAATATTTGCACCATTACGGAGATGCGATGGAATTGTAGCCCTCTCCAGAAAACATCAGATTAAAAAAATCGGAGAGGGCTACATTATTGCAGCTACTTAGTAATCAGTATAACAAATTGAACTTGGTTGAATAATGAAGGGATCTGGGAATATTGACCTACAATATGGCAGCCATGGGGAATAACTCTTGCTTAAATTTACTCAATGGAAAACTATTATGAGGATCAAGTACATTCCTTTATCATTAGTACACATAATGCAGATAAATGCATGAACTAGTTACACACTAGCTTATGGCTTTTACATGGCATAATCTTTCATACTCACATTCTTTGATCCTCCCTGCTCTATATGTACACACAAGTTTGTGAAGTTATGATTGAAAAGAGCACATTGTATTACAAAAAATCGCCGTATATACATGTATAAAAGTCATTAAGAAAAGAATAGCTTATAATGCAAAAACACTAAACCATGATGAACAAACCAAAGAATATGATACAAAAGCACTATCATAATGAAGAATACATGACATTCAATGCACTTGTCCTAATGAAGAAATTACAGCATATAACGAAAAAACACCTTCAATGTCCTAATGAAGACACGTACCACAGCATATATTGAAAAAGCACCTTTTCCTAATGAAATAACCTTAGTTTAAAATTTAAAAACACCATCCTATCACTAATATCTGCAAGAGCATTTTGACCATATATACATACTTAACGAATTAATTTAGTTGTTAGATTTATTTTCAAGGTACAAGCAATTTTGGTGAATATCTTTGGCGGCATTATGCGCTGTGATATTATAGCTCAGGGCATCATTGCTGCTGCTGAGGAACTTCATCTAAAAATACCAATCATGGTGCGACTTCAAGGTAAGACTTCTTTTAATCAAATTAGGGATTCAAGAAAATATATTCTTAAGTATCTTCATGCAGTACTGTGGAATCATCTTAATTCATGGGGGTTTTCTTGGTAAGCAAGGGTTTACATATTCGTGACGAGAGGACATGATTTTGTTGGGACTTTGTTCATATGATGGATTCAATGACTCTTAATGCTGACAAAATAAGTTTTTTGGGATTTAAATTTGTGGGTAAGGGTGACCAACAAGATTCAAGAATATTGGTTTACCCATGAACAATGAGTTGACAGTATGCATGTTAAAAGTGTATAAATTTGATTGAAAAGTATAGATCTATCTGCCTGTTTTCTATTCAAAAAGTCTCTGTTTGTACACAGTTGATACTGTGGACTTAAAAAGAAAAATGGAAAAAAATATTTTGCAATTAACTTTTATTGAAGTTGACTGAAAATAAGTCAAACTTGTAATATTTGTAATTAGGCCTAATGCATTTTAAATCCATGGTAATGTTTCCATATTGACCCATTTAATCCTAGGAACAAAAGTAGAAGATGCCAAAGCACTAATGGCAGCCAGTGATTTAAAGATTATGGCTGATGATAACTTAGATGCAGCTGCTGCTACTGTAAGTGGATTTAATGTCAACATACATGTGTAGTTAAGGGAAAATCAAGCACAGAAAATATTCTGTAAAATAATATCACTTATCAGACAAAACTTGTATTACTTCAAAGAGGTGGCACTATATGATCCTTTAAAGAATTAAAAAAAGTATGTCAATATGCACATGTCAAATTTTAAACTGACTTTTCTTTTCAAACACCTACTGTATATATTTATAACATTTACTAATGCAGGAAAGCAAATTTCAGGATTTCTTTGTTAGTAAAATGTTTTATTTATATCCCCTCATCTACCCTTGGCTGATTAAGCTCATTCAATCAAATTTTGTTACAAAAAAATCACACACATTAAACTTTTGTTTACTATATCTGTTTGTGTCAAGAATGATAACAGTAATTAATTTGCTCGATGGAAGTAATGGATATATACCTACAAAATCTGCCAAGGGAAAGATGTGGGGGTACAAATCAGACACTTGACAAGCAAAGAGGAAAGATATAGAGATTAAACATAGATCTTTTGTAATGTAATCATCAGTGCATTAAATGTTTTCTTATTTTTCCAGGTTGTTCGGCTAGCTAGGATTGTTGGCCTTGCAAAAGAAGCAAACATTGGAGTGAACTTTGAATTGCCCCTCTAGAATAACCTTCTTTCAGCTTTTTAAGTTGCTTTTATGTATGAAAAAAATAAGAACTCCTGATCCAAGATTGATGTCCTACATGACACATACCTACAGATTGGTAGGTGATACATGTATAACTGAATTTTGCTTGGAAACTGATAATTTCTCAGTCATAATAAGTTTTGGTTGAAATTTATAATAAAACAGAATCTCTGCTTTTTTGAAAGCAATAGTTGAAAATGTAAACAATAATTTGCCATACAAATGAACAATAATTATGAATCACTTTCATTCATTTTCTTCAGATTTTTTTATGAAGTTTTATTTATAAGGAGACATGCAAATCAGGCTTATATTGCAGTCTTTGAATAAGAATACACCATTTATTGCATGCTGCAGTCATTCTTCTGAAGTTATAAATGTGATATCCAAAGAACACTTTAGGACATGTTTTTGTTATTTATTAATGTATGCAATGACATCTTGAAATTTGTTGCATATTTGATATGATAGGTTTACATAATAATAAATTTACAAAAATGTTGATTTTTAATTTTTTGCTGGGCTTCACTTGAATCCAAGGCATTACCATAGATGAGCGAGTATCCCCTGCCAACCGGCCACACCCGTCCTGTGCTCCTTGTCATGATGGGGAAATAACGAAAAAATCTGCAGAAATAGTATAAAAACGTTCATTATCATTTGACTTGATAATAAATTGTATATTTGCTGACAGGGTCATTGTAATTACCATCAGATTTGCGAAATGTTGATTTCAAATGACTGTTGATCGCGAAAATTTTAGTGAAATAATGTGATGCTTTACTCCCCATTTGTTTTGTTTCGGTTGACTTTTTCGGCTTTATTAGTCCCCTACCAGTGAAACCAGAGGGGACTATAGGTTTCCTCTGCGTCTGTCCATCTGTCTGTCCGTCCGTCTGTCTGTCCAGCTGTCTGTCAGTCTGTCCCACTTGGTTTTCCGCACTTTTTTTCTAAACGCTTGCAGATATTGAGCTGATTTTGGGTACGTGGGTGTATCTTGATGAGTTACAGATCAAGTTTGAATATCGTTCCGATTCAATGACTTTTTACGGAATTACGGGCTTTTCAATTTTTCAGGGCTTTTCACACTTTTCTCCTAAATGCTTGCAGATATTGAGCTGGTTTTTAGCATGAGACTTTACCTGAATTAGTTATAGATCATGTTTGCATTTCGTTCTGCTTAATTGATTTTTGAAAGAATTATGGTATTTTTATTTCTTTAATTTTATAATTGGGTTAAATATAGGGATCGTGATGCACTACATTTATGTCGTGATGCACTCAATTTATATTCTAAACGAGATTGTCATGAATTGAAACTTGCTGGATAGCTTGTATAAATTGATTAGTTATAGATCAAGTTTGCATTTCGTTCTATTTCATTGATTTCTCAAGGAATTGTGGTATTTTTTTTTTTAAATTGGGTTCACAAAAGGAGATTATCATGATTTGAAACTTGCTGGATACCTTTATCATGTTTATAGTGACAAATATAGATCAAGTTTGATTTTTCCTGGTATAAAATTGTTGTTCAACCATGTAAAATAAGTTGTTCTGACCAAAGCATTTGTGTGTGTTAAATGGCATTCTAAGACGTCACGAGTCTTTCTTTGTAAGGCAGGTCCAATACATTTGAATTTCATTTCTATTCAAGTAATAACTGAAATGTCCATATTTAAATAACATTTTTTTCATACACAGGCTCCAATAAAATGACACCCCAAAGAGAAAAGGGAACCCGGTAGGGGACATGTATTGCTTATGCAATACTCTCAGAATGCTTGTTGCGGTTTGTTATCTCCATAATTCTTTTTACACCTTTAATAAATTACGGTCTAAATCAGAATAGTACCATACACATCTAGCAGTATGGTCATTATTAAGAAAAAAAACCATTTGTTTACAAACTCTATGGACAACTATCGTATGTATACAATGCATATACAACAATTTTTAACAACAACAAAATAAATAAATAAATAAATACGGGATACTTGTACAGGGTGCTCTGGGTGTCCTTCCGTATGTCTGTTGGGAATCCATCTATTATCCTCCACTGAATCTTTCGTTTTAGTAATTGTACAAAAGTAGAGCATGCTCTTGCGTATCGTATCAACTGATAGATATAAAATCCGTATGCAGGTGATGAAAGTGCATGTACATGTATATTAATTGCTGCATAAGTAAGGGAATTAAAGATTGAAAAGTTAAAGTCATTTTTTTTTGGTTGTTAGATTATCATTAACGTCTTTTTCAAGTTAAATATCCAACAAGCTAATTCAGAGAATTCGTGTCCCCCGCTTAGGGAAAAAGTCGGATCCCCCTGACTGAATTTGTAGAATTATTAAATGTATACATGTATACTGAGGCAAATAAAATACATGTATGTCAATATGCATATAAAGATTTGATTCTTTATTATGTGTATAGAAGATTCTTTTTATATGGAATATTTAGCACACTGTAATGATGATTTTATAACCTCATAAATTTTTCATTTCACATGCTGAATACTATCATTTAGTAAAAAAAAAAAGAAGAAAAGTATTTTAAAAAAAAGAAAAAAAAAAGAAAGGAGGACCGGGATTCGATCCCGAAACCTCTCTCGTGTGAAACTAGAGACATAACCACTAGACCACGGAATCGCACTACACAGTGTCAAGTATATGCAGAACTAAAGTCACATACATGTATATATTCATGTTCGGTATTCTCAAAATTTTACACAGTCCATGGTGTTTGATTTATTTAGCCTTTATTGAACAGTTCTAATAGATGTAATAAGAACATAAAGTCCGCCGAGAACCTGTTTTATACGCAATAACTCTCCTCATGCCCCTGCGCTAAAAATAGCGACATGTAATACTATAAATACTCTTTGAGAGGGGCGAGAGACGTCATAGGGAGTTTTGGTATAAAATTACATTGCATAAGCTCAAAATCTTCCTGAAATATCGCCCGGAAATGATAGTGTTACACACAGACAGAATGTATAAATTTACGACCTTGAACTTTGACCTTTTGACCTCAAAATCAATAAGGGTCTTTATTAGGCCACAGGGAGTTGTTATGTACAAGCCAGAGAACTTAGGGAAAAAGCTCCCCTGACTGAATTTGTAGAATTATTAAATGTATTGTATACTGAAGCAAATAAAATAATGTATGTCAATATGCATATAAAGATTTGATTGCTTATTCTTCATTATGTGTATAGTTCTAAGATTTTTTTATATGGAATTTTTATCACACTGTAATGATGATTTTATAACCTCATAAATTTTTCATTTCACATGCTGAATACTATCATTTAGTAAAAAAAAAAAAAATATATATATATATTTAAAAAAAAAAAAAAAAAAAAAAGATATCGTGACCTCTCACACTTGAAGCGAGAGACATAACCACTAGAGCACTGAATCGCTTTGACCTTGACCTTTGACATGTGTGAAGTATATGCAGAACTGAAGTCACATGCATGCATATGTTCATGTTTTCATGTTCGGTATTCTCAAAATTTTACACATTCCATGGTGTTTAATTTATTTAGCCTTTATTAAACAGTTCTAATAGATGTAATAAGAACATAAAGTCCGCCGAGAACCTGTTTTATACGCAATAACTCTCCTCATGCCCCTGCGCTAAAAATAGCGACATGTAATACTATAAATACTAATAGGCCACTAGGGAGTTTTGATATAAAATTACATTGCATAAGCTCAAAATCTTCTTGAAATTGCCCGGAAATAATTGAACTTTCACCTTTTGACCTCAAAATCAAAGACGGAAGACGGACGGACGGACGGACGGACGGACAAACCCAAATTAATATCCCCCACTTTTCAAGCGGGGGACAAAAATGAAAATAACCATTGTTATTTGACAGTAAGTCGTTATAAAATAACCATTGTTATTTGACAGTAAGTCGTTTATATATCTATTTATTATACCTCTACTGTTTTTTTTATGTCCCCCTTCGAAGAAGGGAGGGCATATTGCTTTGCTGCTGTCTGTCGGTCCACTTAGTTTCTGTTCATTTTCTTCACAACCGTTGCCCATACTGAAATGAAATTTGGTATTCAGATATATCAGATGAATATATAGATAAAAGTTCTGTTTTGGGTACGATCGCATGCGCAGGTCTAGAGGGGGGGGGGGGGGTATAAAATTACATTGCATAAGCTCAAAATCTTCCCCCGGAAATGATAGTGTTACACACAGACGAATGTATAAATTTACGACCTTGAACTTTCACCTTTTGACCTCAAAATCAATAGGGGTCTTCATTAGGCCACAAAGAGTTGTTATGTAAAATTTCATTGCAATAGCTCAAATGGTTCTAGAGATATCGTGTACAAGGTGGGAAAAAGTAAAAAGTCACCCTTGCAGACAGATTCCGTAACTTTGTCAAAGTGTAAATTGTTTATGAAATAAAGTCTTGTTGGTACTACTTTGTATCTAATTGGTTCAAATGCAAAGACCTTTTATTGAATGTATTTATTTATTTTATCTACATTCAATATTGTCCCCCGCTTGAAAAGTGGGGGATATTAATTTGGGTTTGTCCGTCCGTCCGTCCGTCTTTCTGTCTGTCTGTAACGCTTTCGTTTCCACACGATATCTCGAGAACCCTTTGAGCTTTTGCAATGAAATTTAGCATAGCAACTCCCTATGGACTAAAGAAGACCCCTATTGATTTTGAGGTCAAAAGGTCAAAGGTCAAGGTCATAAATAAACAAATTCTGTCTGTTAAAACACTTTCGTTTCCACACGATATCTCTAGAACCATTTGAGCTATCGCAATGAAATTTAACATAACAACCCCCTGTGGCCTAATGAAGACCCTTATTGATTTTGAGGTCAAAAGGTCAAAGTTCAAGGTCGTAAATTTATACATTCTGTCTGTGAGTAACACTATCATTTCCGGGCGATATTTCAAGAAGATTTTGAGCTTATGCAATATAATTTTATACCAAAACTCCCTAGGACCTCTCTCACCCCTCTCAAAGTGCCCCGCCCCGTTTGTTTTATTAGTATTTATAGTATTACATGTCGCTATTTTTAGCACAGGGGCACAAGAAGAGTTGTTGCGTATAGAAAACAGGTTCTCGGCGGACTTTTTGTTCTTATTACGTCTATTAGAACTGTTTAATAAAGGCTAAATAAATCAAACACCATGGATTGTGTAAAATTTTGACAATACCGAACATGAATATACATGTATGTGACTTCAGTTCTGCATATACTTGATTCTAGTTAAAGTGACTCCGTGGTCCAGTGGTATGTCTCTCGCTTCACATGTGAGAGGTCCCGGGCTCTAATCTCGGTCGCTCCTTTTATTATTTTTTTAAGTACTTTTCTTTTTTTTAATATGATAGTATTCAGCATGTGAAATGAAAAATTTATGAGGTTATAAAATCATCATTACAGTGTGATAAATATTCCATATAAAAAGAATCTTCTATACACATGATAAAGAATAAGCAATCAAATCTTTATATGCATATTGACATACATGTATTTTATTTGCTTCAGTATACATGTACACTTTTAATAATTCTACAAATTCAGTCAGGGGGACACGAATTCTCTGAATTAGGTTGTTTCATTTATTTCCATTTCCTTTATAATTGCGCTGCGTTTAAAATAGAATTGTTGTTAATGGTTTGGTCTAATTTTTGTATCGGTATAATAAAACAGTTAAATTAATGTATATCTCTGAGGGAATCAGCAAGATTCCAGTTCCCCTCGAGCAAGCCTATTTCCTACGGATGCGCCTCGGGAAGTAGACTTGCTCTTGGGGAAATGGAATCTTGCCGACTCCCTCAGTGATAATTGTAGAATGTCGCATTAAAGGAGCAGCAAGTGTTTTCTCCATAAGATTTTGGACAAACATACGAGTGTAAAAAAGAAAAAAAAAGATGGAGGACCTCCGAGGATGTATTATTGAATAGAACTGAATTTCCATTCTTTGCGTAGAGTCTCTTATCTTGGAAAGATAATGTACATATAAAACCAAGAATTCACGATTTTTAAAGCGGAAGTTAATTCTAGAAGATGGTTCGGTATCTAGCGTTCGTGTTATGTGTACCTCTCTGCTTTTCTTTGGATCTCTTCGAAGTTTTCCACAGAAACATAAAGGATGTTGAACATGAAGGTTTAAAATATTTTTATTTCACTTTCACAAATATGTTATTTAAATTTTTAAGAATTTTAGGATAGTGGTTTAAAATTTGGATGTTGAATCAAGTGATAACAAATGTTATGAACGTAACACGTGCAATTGTTCCTAATTATATTACTTAACAAAATCTACTTATTCATAATTAAATACGTTCTTTATGAATTTTTAGTTTCTTTTTAATAATTGAATTATCTTTCTTTTTCAAACTGAATAACATTCTGAGGAAAATTACACGCCAATAATAAACGTTTGATATCAATGACTTTTAAATTATATAATAGCTCAAAATAAGTTTAAAAATAATTGTTTTTTAAATAATTTACAGAATTCTCAAAAATACTTTGTGAACCTTCTTCTTCCTCCAAAATATATGGCATGCCCCAACATTTGAAGTGCAATTTGAATTATCGTGGGAAGGAAATAGATCTGAGTCTAAATAGAAACCATCACGACAGATATCGTCTGCCTGTTTACTCAATGACAGACGGTAGTTTTGAAGAGGAAATACTAGAAGACCTTCAGACCAAGGTCAGAGAGCACTATCTTTAGTAAAGTTTAGATATGTCATTCTGAATTAGCCATGTACGTCTGATAAGCCTCACACCGAAAATTTCACACATACACAAAGTCATTCAAGATTAATATGAAGTTTAACATGAGCATAAAGGCTATAACATATTTACACGAAAGGTCATACATGTATACTACATGTAGTACTGAGTATATGAAAAACTGGGAACACTTTTTCCGTCTCTGGTTTGTGGAATGGAATTGTTTTTATGATTCGAATTATTGGTAAAAACATGAATGATGCTGAAAAACAAGAGATCTGTTTATTAAAATAATATTTTTCCCAGTCCACATCAGTTGCCTTCTACCAAAACCATGACAGCACAGCAACATTTAAAGTCGAAAAGATTACCAGCCAATCTTCCGTTCATTTTACTCTGGTGAGAACACTTTTCCTTATTGAATTTTGCTATAAATCATTTCTATTTTGATATATTTGAAACAATCGATATTCAATTATAATTTAAAACTGTGGATAGAACAGGTATTCTTGGATATTTATATAACTTCCATTTTTTTCCAGACAGGTTACATGTTCAGAGGAATGAGGCACGTAATAATTCACCCTGTACCAGGACAAATTGAGCATAGGATAGCATTGTCACGTCATAATGAAACCAAGTTTGATGTTGGAGGTAGCGCACAATTTTATTTTTCACTTAATCAAAATATTATATCCGAAAAGCTCCTAATATAAAGCCTGACCAATATAAAGCCTGACCACTAACTGTTCAGTAGACCGTCATGAAGAAAATTATTTAAAAGTTATTTGTACAGACCAGGGTAGTTTAGACTCGCAAAGGTTCATTTTAATTTCATATCTCAAATGCTAAAGATTTTTGTTTTGTTAATGATATATGCGTATGTTTTTGGCAATAAAACGCATCAAAGAATTACTGTAAAATCACTTATTTTCGCGGAGTCGATTTTCATCGAGGAGAAAATTTTGTTTGATTGCTTTCAATTTGCAATTCTTATTGGTAAAAAAAAAACGTGATACTATTGTAAGAAATTAACATTCTTGTGGACAAAAATGGTTTTTATACCACTAGATAACGAAGTTAATAGTAAACATCCATGAAAATTAGTAAATTCAGGGAATTCTTATACTTCCTTAAAAGAGCACTTGAAGAAACCTCAACCTACAAGTGGGAAAGCGGTACCATCTGACGCTAACACCTCTCGTCTCGGTATAAGGGCGGCACCACATGGCACCACTAACGCTCAGCTCAACGTAGCAGAGATTCTCGTCATGGTGGATTACAAGTTTTACAGCAAGTAATTCAACACTTCCAGTGGTTCCTATTAAAAATTGATCTCCCTGATAAACCATCCTAAGAAGATTTTGATTCTTAATCTTAATTGATGTAAAATGCAAGCGAATAATGTCTTGAAAATTTCAACTCACTGTTTTAGTGTTAGCCTAGGCAGATTTGTTTTACAAAATATACATGTATTTGAAACCTTATGCAGAAAAAAGGGATCTATCTCAGCAGATCATATTACTTGGTATCTGTTTTTACTAAGATTGCAATTTAACAAACAGAAATAAAAGTTGGTGTATTTATATATATATATATATATATATATATATATATATATATATATATATATATATATATATATATATATATATATATATATATATATATATATATAAAGCACTAAAAAACCAACAACACTGTATATCCTAAATGTCGGATCTACCAAGTAGATACAAGGTCACGGATGGAAATTTATATAAAGCACTAAAAATGACCAACGACACGAACAATAAAAATTGTCAAATTTTCGGGACGCCCTGTCCCTTCCTCAGGACAAAGAAAAAAGTTAAAAAGTCATAAGAACAAAGGAAAAAGAGAAACAAAAACAACTAGCACTACTACTAAACTACTAAACACTAGATATTTACATACTTAATTACATGTTGAATTGGAAATTTTTAAGAACACTAATAAAGAAAGAAATCCGGACCGCTATGAAATGCGTCCGGTCTATCGGGTATACTCGGGTGAAGTGCGATTTACATAATTGAACGAATTAATTATGCTAATTAATTACGAGAATCAGTAGATCGTACATTGTTTCATTCTCTCAAAATGGCGTAACTTTACTAAATAAAGAATAATCAAAGAAAAATAATATAGCAGGGATATTTAAACATATGAATTATGATCAGTTATAAATTTTGAAATATTTAAGGACTTATTATCGGGAAAAAATAATTAACAAAGGTGTAAGCAATACATAGTTATGTGGGTTGTTCGAGAGTTGGTGATGCAAATTAACTGTAGAGTTTACACTAAATTGAGAGAATAATCTTGTTTAGTATCATCAGGAATTGGGTCTAGTTTACGTTCATTCTGGTGAAGTCATTCAGTTTGTTAATACCATTAGGGCGGAATGACTTCAATCTGTGCATCCAGAACTTTTCTTTGCTTTTTCTCTGAGCATCTGTCCATCTTGGGTTATGGTCAATCACCACTACTGTCATGTCCTCCCATTTGTGACCCTCAAGGTTGAAATGTTCCCCAACGGGTTCACTCAGTTTTTTGGTCCTAATGGTCGAACGGTGGTTATTTACTCTCCTGCGGAGATCTCCTGTTTCACCAATATACTGTTTGGAGCAAACTTTGCAACTGATGAGATAAATGCAGTTGTCAGTATGACAGGACAAATTCTCTAGTATTTTGTTGCTGCGGCCTGTAACAGGGCTGTTAAAACTGTCTGTGTCACTGCTGTGCTTACAAAGAAGACATCTCCTGTCAGAGTAAGTTTTAAAGCCCCCGTTAGGTAATGGGTTGTTCAATCTGGTTCTTACTACCATGTCCTTTAGGTTCCTTGGGCGTCTGTATGCTGCCAATGGGGGTTCCTTAAAGACCTCTGCCATTGTTTGTTTGAATGGAGAATTAGTAGGTTCTTTTGAAGGATACCGCTAAGGTTCTTAAGGACGGGATGGTATGTGGTTACCAGAGGGACCCTGTCGCTATTGTCTTTTTCCTTGTAGCGTAATAGGTTTTGCCTGTCATGTTCCGCCATCTCATCAATAGCTGTTTGTACGGTGCGGGCATTGTAGCCTCTTTTGCATAAGTGGGACTTAAGAAGACCACTTTGCTCCTGATATAAGGCAGGGGACGAACAGATGCGTCGAATTCTGGTGGCTAGACCTTTAGGCACTCCCTTAAAAGTGTGTGGGGGATGACAGCTAGTGGACATAAGATATAGGTGGGAGTCTGTGGGTTTGGTGTGGAGACTGAATTCGATTTCACCATCAATCAGGGTAGATGTAGTATCTAGGAATACGTTTTTCGAATTAGATATGACTACTGTAAATTTGATCGACTGATCGACTGGCAAACGTAATGAATGCTTCGAGGCTCTCGCGACATTCCACCAACTTCATCTCTATATCGTCAATGAAACGCAACCAGCTATGGGGCCTAAATGGTGCTTGAAGTAGCAAGTTGCGTTCCAGTCTACCCATGAAGACATTGGCATAAGACGGTGCCATTTTCGTACCCATAGCAGTGCCATTAACCTGCAGGTAATGTTCTCCATTAAACATGAAGTTGTTGAACTTGAGAACATGTTCAAGGAGCTTAGCAAGGGACTCGGTAGAAGGAATTTGTATGGATCTACTATCCCAGACTTCTCTACAAGCTTCGATACCCTCATCGTGCGGAATATTGGTGTACAAAGACGTGACGTCCATAGTCACGAGGAGGGTATGATCTGGGAGGCCAGTAGAGGGCGTCTTGTTAATGTAGTCCGTGGTGTCCTTGAGATAGGATGGCAAATTCTCTACGTGTGGACGGAGATGTAAATCAATGAATTCAGAAATTTTCTCCGTGGGGTGTCCAATTGCACTGACTATGGGGCGACCTGGCATCATCATAGATCATAATTCATATGTTAAAATGCCCCTTCTATATTATTTTTCTTTGGTTATTCTTTATCAAGTATAGTTACGCCATTTTGGGAGAATGAAACAATGTACGATTTACTGATTGTCGTAATTAATTAGCATAATTAATTCGTTCAATTATGTAAATCGCACTTCACCCGAGTATACCCGATAGACCGGACGCATTTCATAGCGGTCCGAATTCTTTCTTTAATAGTGTTCTTAAAAATTTCCAAATCAACATGTAACTAAGTATGTAAATAAGTGTTTAGTAGTTAAGTAGTAGTAGTGCTAGTTGTTTTTTGTTTCGCTTTTTCCTTTGTTCTTATGACTTTTTAACTCTTTTCTTTGTCCTGAGGAAGGGACAGGGCGTCCCGAAAATTTGACAATTTTTATTGTTCGTGTCGTTGGTCATTTTTAGTGCTTTTTATAAATTTCCATCCGTGACCTTGTATCTACTTGATAGATCCGACATTTAGGATATACAGTGTTGTTGGTTTTTTTTAGTGCTTTATATATGTATATATATATATATATATATATATATATATATATATATATATATATATATATATATATATATATATATATATATATATATATATAATATTTGTACTGATATTTAGTTAAGATTTCTGCTCTTCAGTTTGGTTGTTAATGAGACTGGATTCACACACGCTACATCTGCTGGTGTGGCCGCTTTCCTGAGCGAGTACATAGCACTCATTTTTGACAGTGTACGTTGGAATCTTTTTTCCCATACATACCAGGAAAATTCAGTGAAATTGTAGATAAGTTGCATTAAAGGAAAATTATTCAACGCTAATACAATTTCATTTTTATTGCAACTTTCTATATGATACAAGATGAAAGCGTCTGTAATATGAATACATTATTAATATCCATTGTAGACTAATATCCCGTATAGAAATCTAGCTAAAAGTGGATTACACATTCTTCTAAAGCCGGTTGGAGTAATAGTTGCAAAGGTAGCCAACTCTTCTTTTAAAAAAAACCCATATACAATTTCAAAGGTAAATAAGAAAAAAAAAACAATGAAACTGTTGTGATATCTCTTCAGACAAAATCAGCATCGACATGGACAGAAAAGAATTTGATGACATCATCGCCTTTTCCCAATATGGTCAACGCCTCGCTTGCTTTAGATAATTTCCATGACTACATTGTTGGACACAAGGCTCTTCCCCCTCACGACCACGCCATGCTTTTGACAGGGTAACGTCTCCCTCATGTAAACTAAAGTTTCAGCAGGGTCACTGCAATTGGTCTGGGGATAATTAGAATATATGTAGTTGAATGAAAAATTGGGTTCATTATCTCAAATTATGTGGTTACATCAGCATTTAATTAACACTGATTTTCTCATCAGACCCTTTTTGTACATGTATACCCAAAAGACTTTAAAAGGACACCCTCCCCTTAGACTACTACCGGGTATATGTCAAACTTTTCACTCCTATTGTGTTTCTGAATATAGGTAAATTAAAATTTTGGCCCCATTTTTTAGATCCTTACACAATTCAGCCGATTGACTTATTTCTCTCTTATATAATATAAGGTAATTATGATAAATCGTTTCGAATTTAGCTTGTATCCTGGTCACGGCACCATATATATATTAAGAAGATTAAATAGGTTAGAAGCACTTTTCCTTTACTTGTTGATGTGATTTTCTTGTCTTTCATGTATCGTTTCATTTCTAAACTGAAGAGAGTGTCTTAAGAATTTGACGGTTCATCTTGTTCCAGTTATAATGAAAATATAGCAAATTGGTTAAAATTTTCGTGTCTATGATTTATTTTTTGAAAAGAGATATCCACTGCAAAACTGTCCAAACACTGATAAACATTTTATTGCTTATGATAATTTTAACTGTTTTTAACATTTAATACGTTCAGATAAAACCTTCATAAATATATTCAGATAAAACCTTCATAAATATATTATAATAAAAATATTTTTTCTCTTAGATATGAAATGAAGGATAGCACCATTGAGAAAAATAATTACACGGATATTTTAGGTGAGTCGTGCAACACACTAAATAATATAATTACACAAATATATAAGTTAAACGATCTGTTTTAACTGAAGGAAATAATTATTCAGATATATTACATGTAAGCTATCCAATATGCTACAAAAATGCACAAATATATCAGGTTAACTATCCAAATAATCCAATATACTAAAGGAAATGATAACAAGGATGTACTAGTTACAACATTCTATATACTACAGAAAATATTTACATGGATATATTTGGTAAAATATTTAATATATCAAATAAGATAAAAGTGAATTTTTAGATAATTCTTTTTGAAAAGTATAATGAGAGACTTAAAATTGAATAATCAAGTTTGTGCCAAAAATGACTGAATGTTAAAGTTAAAATTCACAACTTCAAAATGGTATCCTTTTTCAATATATGAATGTTTAGAATACATTTAGAACATTGTATTGGCATTACCTTTTTTATTACCTCTATGAAATCTTTAGGTATGGCGTCCCTGTCAGCGATGTGTGGATCTTATTCTCAATCCATCGTTTCCTCCCAAGTAGATTTTTCACCAGCTTTTACCATTGCACATGAGCTTGGACACAGGTGATTGACATTCAAATTTCAAAAACCTCCTTTCTTAGTTTGTAAAATATACCTGTTCCACCTTGAAAATATTACAAAATTATTTACAAGGGTAAACCTGTTCTGAATGCTATGATTATTTTAAAGAAGACCTATGTGTTGAAATGACTTTTTCTTGGCAGTCTAGGGTCAAAACATGACGGACAGAATAACACCTGCCTTGAGGATGGTCACGTGATGAACTCCACTCAAGCCCGGAACACGTCGCTCGTTTGGGAATTCTCGTCTTGTTCCGTAACCTACATTAAGACTTACCTTAATAAACTAAACAGGTTTTAGAATCAATTGAATTAATAACTTAAATAAATAATCTCTAACATTAGCAAACCAAAACTTGCTTGAATGCTGTAAAAATTGTGATAATGATTTAGACAATTCAACCATCTCATTGTTATTGGTGACGTGTTCGAATAATTTTCTTTGTTACGTTGGGAATACTTCCAGGTCCCCTCATAATTGTATGGTAACTCAGGAAAACCACGCCAATGACCACAAACTGACCGTCCATGAACACGAATGGTTCGGTCAGATCTACTCCGCAGACCAGCAGTGCCATCTCTTCCTAGGTCCTGACTCCTTTATGGAGAGGGTAAAACTTTGGTTTCCATAATAGCTTTAACTAAGCGTGAGATAATTTATTAAATGCTACAGATTGCAGATGATGATTTTTATACTATATATGAACATTTTTCTTCTTATAATATTTTTTTACATTTCAAAGCGACGCTCAGAATTGTTTTTGCTGTTAAAATACAAAGGCTATTATCAATTTAACGTGTGTCAACTGTTTTTTAACAATACAATAGAAAGTTTTTGTGTTAACATTTTTAAAAAAACTGAAGCTTCTTCAACAAAAGTGCTTTTAGTTTAGGAAAATCAATTTAGTAGTACAATTTATTTCAATAATGTTGTCACCCCTGGGAAAAAAATAAAGCCGACATCACGTAAACATTTTCCAGCAGTTGCACGTAAACTCTTTTGCATCAGCACATTGACAACAAATATGCAAGTCGTGAAGATTGATCTACATTTGTCAAGCGTTCACTACGTTGAAAATTAGTAATTGAAAATAATGTTATAAATCATGAATAACATAGGACAAATTTAATTTTTGGTTAATAGCTCAAAATTCTCATAATAATGATTGAAATATGACGTTGGTTGTTAAAAACTATTTCAGGACGAGTATAACTATACTGGAGCCTACCAGACAGCCTTCTGCCTACAGATGGTGTGTTTTGATCCTTTGGACGACGACTACAATAGGTATGCCGTGCCGGGAGATGGAACAACCTGTGGTCATCAAAAGGTAAGCATCCATGAAGGACCTCGTTATATCTCTATAAATTAAATGCTCCTTCAATGAGTTAAAGAAAGCGTATAATACTTTTTGACGTTGCTTGCATTAAAACAGAAACATTTACATGTATTTATAATCTCACTGAAGCTTAGGAAATATTCTTTAACAAAAAGGTTATTGAGATTCTACCCTAAATATAGGAAAGGGAGATTTGCCAAAAATGCTGTAAGAGTTATGTTAAAAAACAATAACAGTAAAAGATTTTTTTATTTCAAAGATTGATTTTCTTCCAAAATATTTCCAATTCTATTACACTTACTCAAAACTTTTATGTCTGATGAATAACCTAACTAATCGCAAAATTTCAAACATAATGTCACATTATGCAATAAATTAATTTTAGCTTGCTCTGAGTACGATAAATTTTTAAACTGATGCAAGCTATTTAAGAAATAAACAACGTTATTCAATGAACATGGCGTTATGAATAGCAATTGCTCTGCTGGCATATTCCATAATGCAATGTTTACTGAATAATAGAGGTGGGATCAGGGTAGCTGCAGATCGTTTTATATATTTGTCTTTGACCATAACGCTACAGATCCCGTAATGTAAAAAAGGTGCAATTTACGGCGCAATATTTTTTGCGCAATTTGGGGGGGGGTCTCCACTTTCTAGCATTGTCAATCAACTACCTTACACTCCCTAATTCTAGACACATTTTGTAGACAATATGTATATTTTATCCACCTCCCAACCATATACCGGTAGTTATCTCTACAGGCAATAAATTCGCTTGAAGTGAACTTTCAGCAATCTAACATATAATTTTAATCAAGCGAGTTTATCACTCGTAGAGACGACTGTAAAGGGTTGGGAGATGGATAAAATATACAGATTAGTTAAATAATGTGCCTAGCAGTTAGGGAGTGAAAGGAATTTAATTGACCGATGCTGGAAATTCTCCTCAAAAGTGCGCAAAAATATTGCGCCGTAAATTGCACCTTTTTTTGCATTACGGGATCTGTAGCGTTATGGTCAAGGACAAATATATAAAACCATAACGCTACATATCTGCAGCTAGGATCAGGGGACATGGAGAAGTTAGAATTCCTTATCGAATGGTAACACCCGCCGTGTACTTCTTTTCATGATCGGGCAAGAGGGAAAATCCGTACACAAATCAGTTTGAAAATTAATCATGAGCCAAAAACTGTTATGATAAACAGCAGTGAACACTCGACTTTAAAATAGAAATGTATTTATTAAGGCCATTAAAGAAGAAAAAGTGAGTTTAGATAATTCATGTATTTTTGTGTAATCTATTTTACAGTGGTGCATGGCAGGAGCTTGTGTTCACCAGCCAACTCTGACACACAGCAACGGTATCCTCCCCATCTTACTTAAATCAATTGAATTAGATCATTTATTATTACAGTCACAAGGGTATACAACATATACTTATGTATTTCAAAATTCATATATTTTGTTAGTTTTATAATAATATATTTAGAATACAGAATTTTCGAAATTTTTACTTGAAAAGTTTTTTTTGGAAGAAGCCACTTCTTAATTAATGAACTTCATTTTAATTGTCTATTTAATAATAATTCTGATACCATAAATAATCAAATTTGATTAATTCTGATACCATAAATAATCAAATTTGATTAAAATTCTGAGGAAAAATCAAAGTCCATCTGTATGCTTGCATATAACAACAAATTGAGGTTTGACATTTTCGTCTGATGATTTAATTATTCTTAATATTCCCTTCATCATAATATTGTTTAGCATCCTCTAACTTTTTCTACAATTTTTATAGAAATATTGAATCTTCATGGACTTCAGTGGTCTCTCTTATGGAACACATTTAAGTCATCCTAACGATAACTTTCAATGTATAGGTTCACTAAATTTTTTCTTCATCCGATTTATCCACAAACGTCAATAGAAATATGGACATATCCAGGATTTTTGACCCCAAGAACTTAAGTGTACATGTTCAAGTCATAATTTTAAGCTAAAATTGACTCAATATAAAATATATTTTAAAAATAAATTTAAAATAGGTATGTCATGGGACATACATGTATATCAAAAAAGAAATGATGACTCAACTGACCTATGGTCCTGTTGTGTAGATGTGTGCCCCCAGGGAGATGTTCCTGATCGCTGGTTGAGAATGGATTATTATGACGACGATCAGGTGATGCAGGCGTTCAACTTCACCTCCTCCTGTAAGGCCTACATACAAAACAGACGAGAACAGTGCTACATTCCCAAATTCAAATATTCTTGTTGTCAGAGTTGCAGTAACATGGTGTCTTATTCCAATGGTAAGATTGGGTTTCAAAAATTACATCAGAGAGAGAGAGAGAGAGAGAGAGAGAGAGAGAGAGAGAGAGAGAGAGAGAGAGAGAGAGAGAGAGAGAATGCTCTGGAGTCCAGTGGTAAGGAGTTGTTCATTACTTCTTGGGTTTGAATCTCGCCGCGAGACGTGAAGACTTGAGCGTTTCATGAGACCATTACATGTACACCGAGGTCCCTTGTTGCATTTCTCACTGCTAAAAGGCTTTGGTGCCGATTACTATGTGTACAGTTCAAAATTTGCAGCCCTCTCTTACCAAGTGGTGACATCTCAATATGAGTAAGAAATTCTCGAAAGGGACGTTAAACAAGCAAACGAAAAATAACTTTAAAAGCGGAGAACACATACTAAATCACAATATTTATAATGAAAGAGTATATACATGTACATGTATATACAATTGGTGGTATATCTGAAATGCTATTGCTATTTCAAGGTGCTCTTCCCGCTTCTGTGTACAACTCTGTTCTCCCAGAGGACTCTCAGTGTAAGCAGACGTTTGGCAGCAGCTCCTACTTCTGTGGAGTAAGTCATCCGTGCTGGTATTTCATTTTCCTTGACTGAACCGATACATTTTTATTAATGCCTATATGAATGAAATGAATTTCTCAAACCAAACACATTCTTTTAATAAATTTAATTAAATTTGTTTATTAAAAGAAGAACGCCTTTCTCTCTTTATTTTGAGGATGTGTAAGAACATTTCTATATTCACTCCATTTTCTGATAGAGAAGGATTTACGCAGACAACGAGACGGTTGACTTCTGTAGCGCATTAAGATGCTATATTCCTCAGGACGATCTGTGTCATTATATCGCGGCACAGGACGGTACAAGGTGCTCCTTCAACAAAGTGAGATTCTTATTTGTCTTTTTTATACCGTAAAAGCAGAATTTTTAGCGAAGATTTAATTTTGGCATTATTAGCGAGGGTGCTGAGATCGCTAATATTTAATATCGCTAAAATTTCATTGCAATTTATTTGTTATAACTTCTTTAGTGAACATTTTAAAAATTGCTAAAGTTACATTACATCTCGCTAAAAATAAAATACCATTTTTATGGACGAATTGCTAAATTTGCGCCTCGCTAAAATTTCCACTACGGTAGTCTTTACATGAAATCCAAACAATAATAAAATTTGTTTAAAGCTAGATATGTTGTTATGCATTTAAAATTTGCTCTCATGGTATAAATAAAACTTGATGGTATCGCACTTCATGCGTTTTATCAAAATGTTTAATTGTGAAACAATTGTAGTGGTGTGTCGCTGGAGCTTGCGTGGATGACCCTAGAGCGTTGCTTCCTCTTGGTAAAATCTCTCTTTCTTGCTTTCTGTCTATCTCTCTTTTTCTCTCTTCCACATCTAGAAATAATCTATTCAAATGAAGCAGAATTTGTCCAAAATTTTATTCGTGAAAAGAAGAAAAACTTGCAGTGGCCTTCAACTCGACATTTAGATATATCGACGATTCTCTTCTAATGTCGACACGATATATTCCGGAGAGCTTGAAATAAAAGATACCACAGAGTCATGTCACAAGCTTAGAAAGTTTGAATTTTTTCTCCTTAGACTTGGAACATGAAATAAACTTGAAAAATATTACATGTAATTAATATTTCAATAAATTACAAATTTGGACAAATCACACTCGGTAGAGTTTTACAGATAAAAACAAATTTCAGAATATGTTAGCTTGGTGCTAAAGGTGAAATATACACTTCAAAAATTATACCAAACCAGGTGAATTTTATGAGGAAAAGCAAAATGGTAAGAATCAGCCTATGTGATTTTTCTGATTTTTCACCATTTTGTGTTTCCTCGAAAAATGTTGCATAAAGGCAAAGGGAACAAAAATAGTCAATGCTGTAAATTCTTAGGTTACTGAAATAATCCTGTATTCAAATGCATCATTTTCTTGATCGAGTTTGATTAACATATTTCATACCAGTGGCGTGGTATATTGTTTCTTACCATTTAGAATTTTAATTCTGATGAATATAAAGGTCTCAGGGTGAATAAGACCTGTCGTTAGATACATGATCTCCCAGAAACCTGAACCCACTTTGGCGATCAAGAGGTCCTTGTTTATTTAATTAAATTTATTTACTAGTTTGAGATTTATAATTTTGTTCTTCTGTATCTGTTCACTAATAGTGAAATATTTACAGGATTTTCATTTCTTCTTGAAGATTACAGTGCGACCCCAAGTCCCCAGGAACAATGTCAAGTATCGTATGGTTCTGATGCCAAATTCTGCGGGGTATGTAAAATATACACCCGACTAAATAATGCTTTTGCAGAGGGCATAAACTTATACTGTATAAAAAAAACTTACAACGACACTAAGTCATGAATGTGTCAATATAGTGTTAAGGAGGAATGGAGGATATCCTTTTCAATAAGTCTATCGACCCGGAATTGTTCTCCTTCGTCTATTTTTTCTTTTTCTACAGTGTACTTTTCAACTGAACTTCTCTAAATTTTAAGCAGTATTGATGGTCGGCATATCAAGGCAAAGAAATGCAATAACTATCAAACTTAAATTCTTATTTCAATGTTCTAGCTACCATATTGTTAAATGAACGTCGTATGCATGAAAAAAATGAATACCATTTTGATGTGAGGTTTAGACCCTTGGGTGATTTGATTAGATAATTAAATCTGTAAGTATTTATATTATCTTTATACAAGTTGATGGAACAAGAATTTCAGCAATCTCGTTGAATGTCATCATTTCGTAAATTCTTTGGTCGATACAAAGACCTTGTCAGCAGATACAATTTATCATTGTGTCAAATACTGAGTGACGTTTTTCATACTATTTGTTAGTCTATTATTTATACACTGAATTGACGACGGATTTTCCTATTTTGACAAGGGGCACACGGCGGGTGTGACCGGTTAGCAGGAGATACTCACTCCTCCTTGGCACCTGATCCCACCTCTGATGTTTTGAATGTCCGTGTTTGCTCTGCTCCTAGTTTGAATTGTTTTATGGACTTTTGATCTTGAATAGTGTTCGTTATCTCCATTTATTTCATTTTATACACTTGGAGGTCTAGCAAAGCGAGTTACGAATACTGAATAATTTTCGAAACGTGTTCAGGAAATAAATTATAATGCAAAGCTTAACTAATAATATAATTAATATCCATTATAAATATTTTTAAAATAAATGATTCATACAAAAATTGATGTGAATGCTTATCCTTATTCACAATTCATTGTAATAATATACAAAATACAATAATATACTTTCATTTGCAGAATACGGATACATATGCCGATAGTTACCACGCCATTTGCGAAAAGCTGTATTGCATCCTTCCAGAACAAAAACTTTGCCATGCTATATTTGCTTTAGATGGAACTCCTTGTGGTCGCAAAATGGTAAGTTTCATACGAAGTTTTACTCACTGAGTATCTTGGTATATTAAAAAATATCCAATGTTATTTTGACTGATTCTGAATCAAATTTAATTAACTTTTGATATTACCAGATTATCCGTAAAAAGACAGGAAAGTAATTGTGACTTCGTTTACGTCCGTGGACCACAAAGTAGAATTCAAGTTTAAGATATTAGCTCTTAGCTCTTTCTTTTTTGAAAACCGATTGTATTCAGAGTTCTTGCCTACCAGGTTTTGTTCACTGCGGTTTCAGACCCATTGGAAGTTAAATTAACAAAAAGTTTATGGTGAATCTAAGTTTTAAGTTTTTGCTTTCACGTTCGGTAGAAAACTTTCTTTTTACTTAATCACATTTAATATTGTCTGTCAATATTATTTGGATAAAGTCCTCAAATAAGAGTATCGTATACAATATTCAAGCTTTTGAGACTAGAGACATCAAAAATTCATATTCGGTCCAGATTAAGTGTAATATGTACATAGTACATTGTAAATTTAAATAATGAAACATCAACGTTTTGTTCACGTGCGTTAATTATCCAAGTCTGAATATATTTTGATACAATTTTTACTACAAAAAAAACAAAACATTCCATTTCTTTGCAATGCCTTTGTATGGTTAAAAATCATTTTTCTGATCGTAGATTTGCAGGGAGGGGTCGTGTGTTCATAGTGAGCATGGACTTGATCTTCCTGGTAAGAAAATAGAAAAACAGCGTAATATTTGTTTGGAAATAAGAAATTTTAATACATGTATTCGTTGTGAAAGAAGTTTAATTAATCCCGGCTTCAATTAACAAAAACAGATCTCTACTTCACCGGGTACAACTTTACATATTTTTACTTAACCGAATACATTTTGAGATCGATATTGTAATATTAACGTGTTTTTCTGAATCAGATAACTGCCTATATGTAGACAAGAGTACTTGGTGCCCACAAAATATCATGGGGCCAGATACGGCTTATAAGTGTTCGTTTGGACATAACGCGGACCTCTGTTGTTTTACCTGTCAGAAGTATGCCAACATGTCTATGCCAGGTGAGCACATGTAAATAAGTGAATTTATAAAATTAGTTATCTTATTTTGACAAAGAGGTGAAGCTACATGTTGATTTTACCAAAACATAAAGGCTTGTTTTTAATTGAATAAGAGCTTTTCATCCATGATCTTCACCCTAAACATTTACACCATATATATGAAATAAATATGATAACAGTTTCCCTACTTACATGTATAACAAAAATGTTTGTCTAAGTGTAACCGAGCAGTAAGGCAGGTGTTATGTTTTCTTCAATTATTCACGAAATAAAGGCATTGATCTAAAATAAATGGTAAGGAAACACATAATCAAATATATCTGTTACATACCATAAGATGCGTATGATGGACACTGGATTATAAATATACTTCTTTCTTGAAAACGTAATACTACTCTGACATACATAGGTAAAGCGCGGCAAATTTATACTTATGAAAATGTATTATTGGATGAAAAAATAGGAAATAATCAGTCAAATGAAAGAGCCAATGAAATCATAGAATAAAACTTTACTCAAGCAACTCAATCCAGATGCGCAGTAGAACTTTTGGTTAATCAAATTTTAAGATTTTATTTCTCAAAACGATATGAAAAAATAAATAAAATTGAATAAATACATATAGAAATAGATTTCATAGTATCACATAAGGAGAAAGGGATCTTTTGTAACTTAAGTCTTTTTATATTTCTTCAGAATGCTTGATATAAATAACATATCTATTGGATTATTTGAAAATAGATATATTTTCTTAGAAACTCCAAAGTAAAAACTTAAAAATATGCTGTAGCCGATTGTCGCTTTGGAGACGAACTTTCCTACACGCGCTACGGATTAACCTGTATGCAGCTGGTATCACCGTCCCCTCAGCAGTGTTACGAGCCGCATGTTAAGGAGAGATGCTGTCAATCATGTTACAACGCCGCCCATTCTCTACCAGGTATATCGCCACTTTGCCACTCTATGTTGTGTCACTCTTTCTAATTTATTATTTCTTTAAAGGTGTTTGATCTCCTCACAACGATCTTAATATCATAACTACAAAAAAAAAACTATAAAAGGGAATAGAAAAATTGGGAGGAAACAACACGTTGCCAACGTAACAATGTCTCCTTCAGATTGCATTGCTGAAGCAAAAAATGAATTGCACGAATTTGAAGAAAAATATGGGGAAAAAAGTCTTGTTGATGAAATTTTTCTATTGCCTTGCAAAAGTTTATGTAAACTACAGTGTACTTTATCTATATTGCCACTAAGAAGAAAAAATAAAATGCACATGTATTAGTAAACAGGTATCACAGTACAGTAATTTTTCTTGTGGCAAATTCATCTTAATTTAGAAAGTACAATTTACTAGTAATCAGTTACTTTGTCTTTATATTCTAAGGGGTGTTAAGAATTAAAGTTCGTTCCATACTGAAATATTTTTGAAAATGTCAAAGAAATTTTTCACTACAGAAATTAATTTTTCATATAGAATATACTTTGATCTATATAACCATTGGTGTTATTATTAACTCTAGATATCAATTCATTTTTAGTTCACCTGAGCCGAAGGCTCAAGTGAGCTTTTCTGATCACATTTTGTCCGGCGTCCGTCTGTCCGTCTGTCTGTCCGTCTGTCTGTCTGTCTGTAAACTTTTCACATTTTCGACTTCTTCTCAAGAACCCCTGAGCCAATTTCAATCAAACTTGCCACAAAGCATCCTTGGGTGAAGGGGATTCAAGTTTGTTCAAATGAAGGGCCACGCCCTCATTCAAGGGGAGATAATTGGCAATTAATGAAAATTTGGTGGCATGTTTTAAAAATCTTCTTCTCAAGAACAACTGTGCCAGGAAAGATGAAACTTATGGGGAAACATCCTCAGGTAGTGTAGATTCAAGTTTGTTCAAATCATGACCCCCTGGGGTAGGGCGGGGCCAAAATGGCCGACCAAAGTTTTTCATAGAAATATATAGGAAAATTCTTTAAAAATCTTCTTAAGAATGACCAAGCCATAATTCATCATATTTATATGGAAACATCCTCAGGTAGTGTAGATTCAAGTTTGTTCAAATCATGACCCCCTGGGGTAGGGCGGGGCCAAAATGGCCGACCGAAGTTTTACATAGAAATATATAGGAAAATTCTTTAAAAATCTTCTTCTCAAGAATGACAGAGCCATAATTCATCTTATTAATATGGAAGCATGCTCATGTAGTGTAGATTCAAGTTTGTTCAAATCATGACCCCCTGGGGTAGGGCGGGGCCAAAATGGCCAACCAAAGTTTTATTTAGAAATATATAGGAAAATTCTTTAAAAATCTTCTTCTCAAGAATGACAGAGCCATAATTCATCATATTTATATGGTTTACATGGAAATATATAGGAAAATTCTTTAAAAATCTTCTTCTCAAGAATGACAGAGCCATAATTCATCATATTTATATGGAAGCATCCTCAGGTAGTGTAGATTCAAGTTTGTTCAAATCATGACCCCCGGGGGAAGGGCGGGGCCAAAATGGCCAACCAAAGTTTTACATAGAAATATATTGGAAAATTCTTTAAAAATCATCTTCTCAAGAATGACCAAGCCATAATTCATCATATTTATATGGAAGCATCCTCAGGTAGTGTAGATTCAAGTTTGGCGGGGCCATAATGGCTGGCCAAAGTTTTACATAGAAATATATAGGAAAATTCTTTAAAAATCTTCTCAAAGATAGAAAATCCATGATTGTTTATGGGACTACTTTTGGATTTTACCTTTTCAATAATAAACTAATTCATACTTTTACAAAACCACAGTGCTCAGGTGAGCGATGTGGCCCATGGGCCTCTTGTTCTTTTAGTTACAGTTCTTTGGTTACTTTGTGGAATGAGCAATTCTAGATAGAGCTGATTACCAAATATGCTCTGAAAATATTTGCAGATTTACTTCTAACTTGGAATACTGATATATGATAATATACTGAGTATTTGATTTACAAAATATTGGCAATTGAATTTTTCAGGTAAAATAAACCCTCCAAGTTTAGATGACCAGTGCCGTGTTTTATTTGGTGCGAATTCTCATTTCTGTAAGGTAATGTACGTGTATATATAAATGATATGTTCAATATATATGCTAGTTTTCATGTGTTATTGATCCATGATCATTGTGTATTGGGTAATGGCATAAATCTGTATTAACGGAACGAACGTCCGTGCCATTTACATGTAATGTATTTTATTTATTATAAACAGTATTCATAAAATAAACAAATTGCCATCCACACACAAGTCGCTTAACATAAAGTCTCCCTTTTTAAGGTCAGACGAGACGTTCCTCAATTGATTTTAAAATCTGTTTTGTGTACCTTCGTAATGTATAAAAAATATTCAAAATTTTAATAATATTCTGATTTCTAAACCAGTTTCTAAACGTTTTTTTAAAAAAAATCCAAACACCAAACATTTGAAATTGGAAAAAAAAAATTTCTTCCCCAAAAGATTATAAAAAAAATATATATGGTATATATATAGAAATGCCTATATATATAATTTTTTGTATAAACATGTTTAAGTAGCAATACTTAAATGACAAACTCCTAGAAAAAAATTATCGATTATTAAGGTAGTCCGATCCTCAGATGTATAAAATTAGCAGTTAAGTAATAAAAAATACTCATAAAAGTATATCTGAATCCACAAATTTACATAAATTTATCCACAATGTTTCTTTTAAATTAGAGATTAAAGTTAATCATATTATTTAGGAAAAATTGTCAAATTTCCAATATTTTTTCAGAAAAAGCGAATTGGAATATCAGCAATGCATTTTCTAATTGCAAATTAATCAGCAAATATATTTTAGGTTAAAAAACAATAGGTATCCAGGCATTCAGAGAAATTGTCATGATTTTTATACTTATTTTGGTATTTTTTGTTTTCTATTTTCGTCATGTATTCTATAATACATAGTGTAAAAGGCTTTTGCTATTATTGCAAGACATAACAAATCACTTCTTATTTCATATCATGCTAATAAGCATTGGTATCTAAGGCTGGATTCAAGAAAATCTTATTTCTCTAAAAGTATATTTTTTTTCTCCTTTTAAAGGGCACAAATGTCAACTTTTATAAGACCTTTTCTAGGACTTCCTAGGACCTTGAATCTTATAAAGATGAATAAAATGAAAATTGTTGCATGAAAAAATTTCATTTTCAAGCTTCAGTTTGATGCATTTCAAATTAAATATTAATTTTAGGAGTTATCCTTAAGGAACGTCTCGTCTGTCCTTAAGTAAACATACAGTATATCGTTTACATTTTATTTAAAACAGGTTTTAAGTTCTGATTTATTTCCCTTTCACCTTCATTGAACATTTTCAATATGAATTTCATCACATCGAAGATGAAATATACATAGAAAATTTGCAACAATTTGTTGCTATAAGGAACTGAATAATGGATATCATTTCATAGCATCATCTAGCGTCATGTATCAATATTTAATACACTGCTGCTTTAAACTCTAGTTAAAGCCAACGATGTAAAATTTGTGTCAAAAGATTCCTTCCTCCGTCGTGTTTGATTGTTAAGAATTAAAAGTACATAAAGTAGTAAAGGATACATTATTAATTTTTGCATATGGAATTTTCTTGCAAGAGATAATGAATCAGCAAATCATTACGATGAATCTTGATTATTTCAAAATATAAACAAACTAAAACAACTTTCAGTTTTCTGAACTGAGCTTGCTTACCAAATGTGAAACATACAACCTGACATCAATTCGTTATTATCATACTTATATAATAAAAAGAAATTGCCCAAAGGATTTATGTTCAGATGGAAAGCTTGATTGTTTTTTAGATTGCAAGCACAGAATATCAAGGGGAAAGCTATGCAAAAATATCTCCAAAGAATGTCATTGCGATAAAAAATGTCCATGTGAAACTTGAGGCATTTAGTCACATAAGATATATCATCAAATGTGCAAATAGCACTGCAACCATCAGATCTCAACCCCCTTTT